TTGATAATAAATATTTCTTAATCAACTATGTCAAAAGCCTTTGACAGGTCCATGAATACCCCTATAGAAAATGTATTGTTATTAATTGCAGAAATATTACGTAAAATTTCACAAAACTTACCCCCGACATTTCGGGAATATAGGAATAGTCCAGAATCTGGCCGATTTAAAGGAAACCTAAACCCAAAGAATAAGTGTAGGGATTCTAAAAAATGAGATGTATTCCTGCCCTTTGAAGTACAATATTCCTTACGAAAATGTTCAAGATATATATAAATGAAGATATTCTTCGCATGATGTGATGCATTTCAGCATAACATGGGCGCAGCCATTTTCTTGAAAATGTGACGTACCTGTTGAAGTTGTACATCATGCACCAAGCTTTTGTTGGAAAGAATTTTTATTTCAATAACGAAGCCTTTACTTTTCGATGAACAAAAATAATAACTGAGATGATAGAAATTATATACGGTGAAAAATAAATAACAGGGCCACAATTGTAACAAAATTAATTTATAAATACTACACTATAGCAGTTTACAAATCCATTTCATTTATGAGAAATCTTCACCCCGGAAGAGCACTAAATTATTTATGCAATTTGCGTTCTGGCAATTGTAGTACAAAGGATGATAGCAGGTGAATGAAATTCTTCATCACTACACACGTCTGGGAAAGAAGCATCCATAAATTTGAATACGTTTACTTGATAAAAGACTTCGCATAGTACGTCACATTATCAAGAAAATGGCGATGCCCATGTCGTGCTGAGAAACTGTACTTTATTTTTGCTTTATACCTCTATCATACACTTTGGTGGGGAATCTTGTAGATTTATGGGCAATAATTTAATAAATCTCTCAGAATAAGTAGAGTTATTACTTGGGGTTCGGTTTCCTTTAAGTTTGATCTCCAGGCATACACACCAACGTAATGCGACCTCCCACTTCTTACTTACTGCCAGCCGAAGATGGCGTGATCCATAAATTAGGACGCCCGACGAAAAAAAGTCTTAGGTGGGCTGATGGCATAGATAGCTCTATGGCTGGTGGGCGCATCAGTTCGTTGTTAACGCCATCTTCGGCGGCTTGAATCAAGCGTAGAGAATAGAGACTCCTGTTATAAATTCAATTCAATTCAATTCAAGACTTAATTCCAGACTCAGCTGCAAGAGCAGTGGTCCATATAACATATTTACATATAGATATAAACAATGAACAAAAATAAGGGGGAACACCTACAGATACATTGTATAAGAGAAAAAAAAAACTAAACTAAAACTACTCTAATCAACCTCTGCCGACTGTGACAACAAGCTTCAGAACCAGAACCTCCACAAGTCTGAGGTAAACCTTGTACTGCTTTGCAATGGGTTAACCAACATTTTAACAATCATTTTTTCTGAAGTGTCAATTCTCTGAATAAACTTGAAATTTAGATTTCTTACAACAGATTGACATGCAAGTGTATTCACATCTGCAAACATTTTACTTGCACCGTAGAGTGACTACTCGTAAGAGCATCCTCATATCATCGTCATAGGCTATCGTGAGCTTCTTTATACTGCTCTTTTTTTATACAGGCTACTCCAAATATGTACAGTCAGGCGCGTACACAGGGGTTTGAACCCCCCCCCTTTGACTTTATGTGTATGTTTTGGACGAACCCCCCCCCCCCCTATTTGCATTTTTTTGTAATAATAACAAAAAAAAAAAAAAAAAAAAAAAAAATTGGGACAAAAACAAAATTCCTCTTACCCCCCCCCCCCCCCCCCCCGCTTATTCAGCGGCTGGCTGAGTCGTTGTATACGCGCCCAGTATATAACGGCATACAATAAGCTCGAAATAATTCAACCTTAACTTTACGAGAGCACATGTTCCGGACTGAAAATGGGGCTCGTTTTCGTCGGGTAACACGACCACCCGACCCGACGCTATGACCCGATGATTCGATTTGTTGAGAGCCTAGCTAGTGGCGAACTATTACCTGTTACGAGTTACTGCCAGAACGCAGATTACATTGGTGTTGAAAAATTACATTTAAACGATAGAATTAACATGGACCTACTACTTTTACAGAGGCTCTCAAAGGTTTTTGTATGTTAAAGACAGAGCTGCATTAACATAAACCTTTTATAACTTTAGACAATGCGAAGTGGTAAATATCCTTTCAAAAATGCCCTACAGTTTGGAAGCTCACCCCCTCCATACTGTCATCACATACCTTCCCACAGTAATCTCATACAATTAATGTAAATCACCCCGTTAAATATTTATGTTTCCATCATATATGTTAGGCAAGGTGTAATTTGATGTACTGTCAAAAAGGATGGGGGCACAGTGTCCCAACTTTTTCAAGTACCCCAAAGTGCCCCTTGAACTTTGCACAAGCTGCCCCTTTTTACATTGGAAAAGTGCCCCTTTTCCTTTGACAAGTTTCCATTTTCCTTTACAATCAGTGTCCAATTTCATGCTCATAAGTGCCTTTTTTTAATCTCTAGTAAGTTCCCCTTTTCAGGTGCGAGAAGCGCCCCTTTTCACTTTTTATAAGCGCCCTCTTCACCTGTGACAATTGCCCTATTCAAATCTGAGAGGTTCCCCTTTTGCTTTGACAAGTTCCCCTTTTCCTTTGTAAACAGTGCCCCTTCCCCTTTTAATAACTACCCCTTTTAACTCGGATAAGCGCATCTTATATTTTCACATGTGCCCCCCTTTCCTTTTGATAAGTGCCCCCATTAAACAAAAACCTTTTCCTTTTCATAAATGCCCCTTTTTATCTATGAAAATAGTTCTTTTTCATTCTCAAAAGTGCCCCTTTTCATCTCTTGTATTAATAAAAAGACCCTATTCAAGTCTGAGAGATACTCGTTTTACTTTCACAAGTGCCCCTTCCCCTCCTGATAAGTGCTCTTTTAATCTCTTATACATGCCCCTTTTATTGTTCACATGTGCCTTTTTTTCTTTTTAATAAGAGCCACTTCCCCCTCCTCATAAAAGCCCCCTGTCACCTCCGAAAAATGCTCCTATTAAAGTCTGATCGGTGCCCCTCTTCTATCAACAAATGCACATCTCCCGTTATCATTATTTTGTGCCCCTTTTTCATTCTCATAAGTGCCTCTTTTCAAGTATGGTCAGTGCCCTTTTCAGTTGTGATAAGTGCCCCTTTTCACATCTGATAATTACCCATTTAACAATGACATGTGTCCCCTTTTCCTTTTTAATAAGGAACCTATCCCTTTTTTCATGAATGCCCCTTTTCACTTCTTATAAATGCCACTATAGAAATCTGACGGGTGCCTCTTTTCCGTCGACAAATGCCCATTTCCCATTCTCATAAAATCCCTATTCATCCCTGGTGCGTGCCTCTTTTTTAAGGTTTAAGAAGTATCCCATTTTTAACTCTGATAATTAGCCTTTGCACTTTGACACGTACTCCTTTTCTTTTCTAATAAATGTCTTAAACCCTTTCGATAGGTGTCCCCTTTTCCTCTCATCATTAAACGTTTTCCTAATTTCAAGCGACTAAGAGCAATTTCCCCCAAAGCTCGTTCGCTACGCTCGCTCGTATATATATGTAACTTATCAAAGGTCTTTTCAGTCTTCCGTTATGACAATGTGCTTAATAGGCCCATCAGAATTTGGCATTTCCTCTTTCTTAAGATGTAGTTTTTCGCACTGCGACCTCACAAATCTTAATAGCTTTGCTCGCTCACAAATGAATTTTCAGACCATCACACCCAAATGCAACGTACTATGATGCTTAAATTAGAGAAACAAATATTGAAATCATCCCTGATGACGTAATCACAATATAGGGGTATGTCTAAAACATTGTATATTTTCGCTTTGAAATTTCCCTTTGAAGGTGCCTTTTTTTTCCAGAAAGTGCTCTTTGTTGGTGCCCCCCCCCCCCCCCCCCCACTTTGGAAGTCGCTCCGCCGCCTTGGCCTACTCATACTCTTTAATATCACGTCATTATGGCCCAAAATCAACCGATATCGGGGTACAGAATGAGAGTCTTCTGTCAACGTTGAGGGTGTTTTATTTTATCAGCTGATTGGACGCGCGACACGGAACTAAGAGGTCAGCGGCTGCATGCGCCAGCAGCAAATTCGGGGAACAAGAGCAACAACGGCGACGGCTTTAAAGATAAAATTGAGTTCTGGTCATGCGATTGCATTGTGAAAGAAACGGTGTGGAATTGATCAGAAAAAGTTGATCATGAAGCATATAAATATTAGTGTGAACTGCAAGGTAAAAATGATAAGAATTATGGCCCAGTCTTGGTAAAAGTAACAAGCACTGTACATAGAAATAGGTATATGGGACCACACAAACATGTGGCATAAAAATGAGGCCCATATTTTAAAGCTGTTACATGTCATATTTAGAATATTAAGGAAGTTGGACAGGGAATCTGTTTTCTTTGATGTTCTTCCACACTTGCATATAATAACAATGGAAACGCGCACAAATTATTTTTCACCTCTCCTCAGAACTCGATTTTCTCTTTAATTCAAACCTTAAAACGTAGTTGTGACCCAAGTCTTTGTCGTTACTGGGAAAAGATCTGCAGTGTCACAGGTCTCAGTGTTTCTCATCATTTTAAAAATATATACATTTAGAATTGAATTGTTTCTCTCAATTACTTTTGTTAGTGTTGTTATGACATATGTGACTATTAATTTAGGCCCTGCTGTTTGCATGATTAACAAAATAAAATACAAAAGCGACTGAAAGTTCCTCCCACGTGCCGGAAATGAGTAGTCTAGTTATCAGACAAATACCTGAATAATTTATACAATATCATCAAAATTATGCTATAATTTAACTTTTATTTAAAAAAAGCAATTAAGAAAATAATCAGTATGATTTGAAGTTGTATTTTTTGTATCAGTCATTCTTTATTTATACAAATGACCTTTAGTAATTGGGTGGGTTTTGATCATAGACTAAAAAAGCCGGCTCATGACGTCATGCCATTGCGACGTCAATTCTTTTCGTCCATTCATTCATTCTTCGGATCTGGCTAGAAAACGCGCGCCGGTACATTTTCACATGTGTTCTGCGTGGTCTAAGTTACTGAAAATTTCCGGACAAAGAATCGAAGCATTCATCTTCATTGAAAGAGTAATTTAAACACTTTGGCCGGTAAGTATTTTAAAGATTTTATACATTCGAGAGATGATAAAGTGTCAATTTCGGTCCTATGTGTTTGTGATGATGAAAGAATTGCTGTGTTTGCTTGTTGAGTGTTTCCCAGTAACACAAAATTCAGTCGCCCATACAAATGTTAACCGGCATGACTCAATCAATCAATGCATACAGTCTGTGAGTATGACTATGAGTATGACGTACGTCGTACGTACTGAGTTAAATAATATGGCCACTGCACTGCATGGACAGAAATTACCATCTGGTAATAAAACTGACATTTGTCATACTTCTGGCGCTTGCTCAGAATAGGGAGGCCAATGCCCAAATCTAACTTTTTAATTACTAATTTGTTTATACTAAAACTAAGATTAAAAGAAAGCATTTACTTTCACTAAGAAAATCCACCCATCTGCCGACTCCATAGGTTCCATCAAATAGGACTTAGGAGATATCCAGCTGGTTTGTAGCCAATTCCTTCTACGCCTTTCCGTACGTAAGAGCCTTGAAACAATTATATTTCATGTCGCAAAGTTACGTTCATAATTAGACAGGCCCGAGGGACAAAGTTCATGATGAAGTTTAAAACTTCGCGCGAAAGTGCAATCACTCAACAGCGGCTAGCCTTGAATCGGTCGCACACGTACACACCTTCTTCTTCTTAGTTGATCCCTCCACCGACACAGGCAACCCCCGATGCAGGCTGAAGTCCAGCCATCAATGTGCGAACGATTACATCTTCTACTACTACGAGCCGAAGACGATGGTTCAAAAAAGGAAAGAAATATATATAGGCCTAATTCATTGATATTTACCTTTGATGTGTATTCCAATAATTTGATTTCCTCATGAGTATTCCTTATTATCAACGATCGAGAAGTTACGAGGTCCAATTAAAATCCATCTTGCAGCGAACACAATCATAGCGCACATCCATGCATGCAACGTACGTGTACTAATATTTCTCTCACTCTCTCTCTCTCTCTCTCTCCCTTTCGCTATACGTAACATACACACTCACTAACCATGTATCATACAATGATACAACACACACCTTCAAATCATGGCTTTCATTTCAATTCTCAATTGGAGTATAGACTGCTCACGTAGACTTTTTTTTTTACTGAAATATCTTTGTTAACACTTCTCATACATTACTGCACGACACTCGTATCTAGTGCTGTGAGAATAAGGTACTAGGGTCTATAAATAAGACTACGCTTTGCGCACGATCTGACCGGAGCTCAGATTATGTCGCAATACCCTTTATTTTTGGCGCGAACAATGACGTCACTGTTCACTGTTTTCCTTCTCATTTTGAGATGGATGTAGTTATAGGGCTCAAACCAACGCAAGATTGACAGAAACATCGTACTCTATCTACTTTCGAATGTTCAGTTTGTAAAAATCTGTATTTAAAAAGATATAATCTTTTTTCTTTATATTTTCTAGTTGTAAGAAGTGGCAATTGTGAACATCTGAAATGTTGATCTCTATCAAAAGTTCTTTACTCAAAACGGATCCCATATTTTTAGGGTCTACCTTCTGCCAATGAGAAGGTTTTTAGTGAGCAAACCTCTACGCCCTCTAGGATTTTCTTAGTCGGTGGTGCGAGTGCGTCAAGGTCGTCTGCAACCACAATTATTGGATTAAAAAACGTCAAAATCTGCAAGATTGTCAACAAATGGTGAAAGACTGTTACAGATCCGTGATTATAGGTATGTTGTGAAATGTATAATTGTATTTTCTTTTCATATTTTCTTCAATTTTTATTTTTACATCATTTTTTTCCCTTTGCTAATTTTTTGAAGTGGGCGACGAGCGCACAAATCGTAGGTGTAGAAGCCTTACGCCCGGGCATTGGCCTCCCTACTCAGAATTATGACCATGGACTCCAGTGTCGAGATACCGTCCTTCCTAAAAATAAAAGTTATAACACACCCAAAATCGTTCTAAATCTTCCATAGAATAGTGGTTCAAATAATTCATGATTTAAAAGTTATCTTTCTTACCTGTTTCTTGTCAATTTTCTTATCTTTTTTGGAGTATTTTTCCTAAAAATGACATTATAATGTACACTTTCTCACCATGTTCACAAATCATGAAGTTTCACTGCTAACCGCCGCACAATACAACAAGTAGATTCTAAGTGCATACCGATAGTGGGTTTCGGGAGGGCGGCGTCTATGATACGTTCGACTGAAATTATAGATTTTTTTCCCTCTTTATTTAATACAGAGCCTGTATTATGCCTGCCCCCCTCCTTCCCCCTGTGGCTACGCTTCGCCAATCACATTTCCTTACTCTTTCTTGACTAGTATGATACGTCTGCGACTGAAATCATTTTTGTAATAAAGTTCCCCCCATCAACAACACAACAATAACATAATTATAACGAAAATACGACTCGGTAATCAAGACCATTTCATTTTATTAATACATTTTCGATATACATGTACTAAAAAGATAAGCTAATTGACACGAAAACAGGTAAGAAAGATAACGACTTTTAAATCATGACCGTTATTCAAACAATTGTGGAAGATTTAGATGATTTTGGGTGTGTTATATTCCACGCCGTAGTCACAGGTCCGAAGTATGGTCACAGTTCTGAACAAGCACCAACCTTCTTTGAACACGGATGAAAATGCAACAGGAGGACTAACTGCCAATTTTCAGAATCAGGCGAAAAGTTTGTCCTGGTTTTCTTTACATAGAGACTTACTTAATGAAACACTCGACACTTAATTACTTAGAATACTAGTTATACTTCATAGTTTTTATACCTAACATTTAAGAAGGCCAGGCTAATGCCAAAATGGTAGGATTCATAATATGTCAGACATCTATATTAAATGGAAAAATAACAATTGACATCGAATATCAATGTAAAAATTGAAATATATAATGACTTGGCTGCAGCTAATCTGTCGGGGTTTTGTGATGAGCACATGCCGACTGCGTTGTGGAACCTCCCCACACTACATCGTATGACACACTTCAATCTCTGTATTGGAGGTGGTCAGTGGAGCCAGTCGTTGTCTCAGGCTCTCAGTGGAACAACCCCGATATAAAACCTACATTGTGTAAGAGACTGAAGCATTCAGTCTAGACTTAATCTAATCATTAAATCAATACATGTAATTTTCATTTTCTTTCTTTTAACATTTCCAGGTCAGATTCTCGGCGACAGTCAGTAATACTTAAACATTGTCTACCAGTACTTCATCTTGGAATAGACCTCTACAGAAGTGTACAGCACTGACAGTGGAGTTCGGTTTGTGGTAGATCTTTGATTGTGCCTTTAGTTTCATCATGCCAAAGAAGAGGGTACCTAGGGGAAAGGCCGGAGCAGCCAAGAAAGCAGAAACAAATGGCACCACCAACGGTGCTACCAACGGCACTACCAATGGGGTAACAAATGGAGGTTAGTAGAATTGTAGATGGAAAAAGACAGAGGGGGTGTAGCCAACCACATTAAGGCCATGTAAAAAATATACATGTTTGGCGTCCCCGCTCGCTTCCTTTTTGGGGGCCGCCTCCTATTTTTTTTTTTCTTTTTTTAGAAATTTTTGAATTTTTTTTTTTTTAGAGAAAAAAATCATGAAAAACACTGCTAAAATGGATCTATTTCTGATTTTAAAAACAATTTAAAAAAAATGTCGGCGGCCATCTTGAAAAAATAGCCGACTGTATCCAACTGGGTACCCATTTAATAATTAACATCTGAGTGGAGATTGGCAAATTTATTTGTATGCAGTTTTCAGATAATTAATTGACTTCAAGATTTAGGTACCCATAGAGCTTACATGTAAGTCAAACTGGTTTTATTTCCGAATTACCCTACATGTAAAAAGGGGAATACTCTAAAAATGTTAGCAGTGTATATTTTTCAACGAAATACATGTACATGTACTGGGATTTTAGTTTTCAGGCTTGTTCAAGATATCTTGAAGAATAGAGTTATTTGCCATCAGATGATTAAACTCACCTAAATTGCTTTACCAGATTCAGATTCATCTGTGAAGAGATACGGTATTCAATGATGATGGCTCTTGACCCTAAAGGTCAACCTAAGTGTGATGGGAATTTAATACATGATTTAGATATACTTCTGAACATGTAAATTACCTTGGCCCGTTGCATAAAACTTACCATTGATGGTAACTTTGCTATCAATGGTAACTACCATGGAAACCTTGATTCTGATTGGCTGTTGAGCCATGTTACCATGGTAGTTACCATTGATGGTTTTGTGCAACAGGCCCAGGTAATTTACATGTTCAGAATTATCTGTAGTTGTGGTTTTGAATTGTCATGTTGGGGGTTTGTTTTGAAGAGTCATGTTGGGGGTTTGTTTTGAAGAATGTGCCTTTTTGGCTGCAAATTCAAGTGACGTCGTACCATTCACAAAACAGGCTTCTAATTAGTACGTGTAGCTCTGTTTTGCCCTTTCTATCTAGTAGGCTTTACATTTTGCACAATTTTGATATTCATGAAAATAATGACATTCTAATAGTCAAAACTGTCTATGAGGGTCACTCAAGGTAAACAGAAAAAGCGGCCTTTGCAGACAGGTGGCCTTTCTATACATGTTTTACAAGACATATTTCTTTCACAAGCGAGAAGAAAATAGTTGGCCACTATAGACAGGTGGCCTTTATAGAGGGGTGGGCACTAAGAAAGGTTTGATTGTAGTTTAAAGATGTAGATTAGCGCTAAGTTACATGTTATTAACATGATCATTGCATTCCTGCAGGCCTGCCCCAGTGCAATGCATATTCTCCCTTCCGTAGGGAGCATTCCAGACAGGCGCCAGTTGAAGACGCTTGTCTTGCTTCAAACAAACCACAATGACTTTTGCATCCTACTGGATATATCATGAACACTTGGGTCAAGAGAAAGAATTTAGATTAAATACCTTTGCTTAAGGATGTAGTCAATGTACATGTACAATAAATGCCATGCCAAGGATTTAACCCATGCCCCTCGTACATCCAGTCAAAGTCGAGCGTTTTAACCACTCGCACTCCACTATGACACCTCAACTATTTAACTTTGTTGCATTTATCCTATTTTACTTTTCTTCCACAGTGAATGGTATCGCCGATGACCTCCACGATGTTGACCTCGGTGCAGGTAACAGGTCATGTACAGGTGTATTACAGTCGCATCCGGCCAGTTGTGATCTTAAGATCACTGACGTCACACTGACATTCCACGGCGTCGAACTGTTCGTAGATTCTACAGTTGAGCTCAATGCCGGCAGGCGGTATGGTCTTCTAGGTCTTAATGGTTCCGGTGAGTTTCATGGCTGTAGGCTACATGTAATGCTCAAAGTTGCTCAAGCGTGGGTATATAGAGGGCAGCACACGGACGTACGCACGGGAGCGTAATACCCATTGGCTCAAGTGTTATGTAGTGATCGGGAGTGATCGCCAAGTTGCCTACTTCACGAACGACTATATACCCACGCATGAAGATTTTCAAATCAGGAAGGTTAATTCTACATACCGTCCTGCACATTTACCTTTACCTTTTACAATTAATTGTCAGGTTTACATATTTTCTATGGGATATTTATTGGGCCCAAGTCATAACAAACTCTATAAAGCCTTGATCCAGATTTGAATAAATCAGTCAGACTCGGACTTTGATACATGTACATGATTAATACATGTGGGGCAGCAGTGAAGATGGGCTTTGTTCATACCTAAAACTTGGCGAGTGCAATTGAGAAAGACATCTGGAATTTTAATGTACACTAGGTAACATTTTATAGCACGTATTTCATTCCCCATTATTCTGTCTTTTAAGGCTGATTGTGGATTGAAAAGAATCCTATGACTTCTCTTTTGCTAAATATTGCAGTGTTTTTCTTCTCAAAATACAGTCATGTACATGCCATGCATGATTTTGATCACTGTCACTTTTATTAATGTATGATTGTGATCACAATTTCTTTTCTTGCCAAAAATATCCTCTCAAAGAAAATTTCAATGGCTATTTAGGGGCTTATTGGGACTATAGTGCTAGTTATTGCGGCTTGATGTTGTAATTTATTTAATCTAAGCATATCAGAAGCTCTTGTAGCGCCGTAGAATATATACTTAATGTTGGATAGTTTCTGCGCTCTATAAAATGTATTATTATTATTATATTTGATATTGATTTGAGTCATCTGAATTGTGATCCTAGGCAAGTCCACTCTGTTGCACGCGATCGGGAAGCGAGAGGTCCCCATCCCCCATCACATGGATATCTTCCATCTGACGAAGGAGATTGGAGCCAGTGATAAGACCGCCCTGCAGTGTGTGTTAGAGGTAGACGCCGAGAGGATACGACTGGAGAGGGAGGCAGACGACCTGTCACATTTGGAGGGCCCAGGTGAGGTCTAGGTTTCAGCATAGGGCAAGTCCGGTGTATTTGGTCCTTCTGTGTCCAAGAGGAACTTGGGTTAACTTAATTTCATCCGATTGATGGAGTGCTAGGTCCTCCAGCACCTGGGCCCTGTCTTACAAAGATTTGATATCAATCGCAACTATGTACATAGGAGATAGGAGACTGCAAACTTGCAATTGATTGGAGGACTTACGATTGATTTGGATCAATCTTAACTCTTTGTAAGACAGGGCCAAGCTCTTTATAATGTACAAGTTATGCATGTAAGAAGAAATTTGAAAGAGAAGCAGATTCATCATGAAATGATATAGGACGAAAATGATTTAGTGTCAAAATAAGCTTTTGTTAATTCATCTAGTGATAAGCTACATGTATAATGATACAGATATAATTAATTGCCCAATTTTCTGCCCGCTCAGAAATGCTTAGAGTTTGAATCGCTCTCTTTGTTACTAATTAACACAGAGGCTGAAGACAGACTGATGGACATCTTCGCACGTCTGGACGAACTGGATGCTGACAAGGCAGAGGTCAACGCAGGTCGTATCCTCCACGGTCTCGGCTTTACGAAGGACATGATGAAGACAAAGACAAAAGACTTTTCAGGAGGGTGGCGTATGAGGATATCTCTCGCGAGGGCGCTGTTCGTGAAGCCCCATTTACTACTGCTCGATGAACCCACGAATCATCTCGATCTAGAAGCCTGTGTGTGGCTGGAAGAGGAGTTGAAAGAGTGAGTTATTTGTTTGTTTGTTTTTTGTTTTTTACCTGAGGACTGCTAAGAAAGCATGTGTATGCTCAGAGGGACTTACATACAGTCCTGTACATTTACCCTAACCTTTCACAAACAAATGTCAGGTTTTAATGGTTTGAAAGAGATACTTAATGGGCCTAAGTCAGAAAGAACGGACGTTGTAAAACCTTGATCCAGATTTCATTGTGGGGCTGGAAGAGGAGTTGAAAAAGTGAGTTATTTGTTTGCTTGTTTGCTTTGCTTGTTTGTTTGTTTTACCTGACTGCTAAGAAAGCATGTGCTCCGAGGGACTTGTTAATGAGGATAAATATGTTACCAGCGGGCACTAGTGCATCGACTTGGTTTTGAAACCCTGGACCTCCTTGTTACGAGACCACTGCTCTACCTCTGAGCCATCGAGCCTCGCCTACTTGTCAGTTGCAATGACTTTTGTGTTTGAGGGGAGAGGAGGGGGGATGTTACTTTTGTAAAACAAAATTATGTTGGGTCTCTTTGTGAATTATATTGCTGTTTCCTAAACCCACAAGTTACCAAATTGTTGACAGATGTACAACGGAGAAGTCATTTTGTGACCGTAGATAGTTATCATGATTTGAGGGTATGGCTGTCATGGTGATAAAATATGTTATGGACTCCTGTTCAACCATTGGCTACTTTTTCACGAGCAAAGTGTTGTTTCTTACAAGTAAACTTGAGTAACATTCCTTTACCAATGAATTACTCAAGGATGCAGTAAGAATATACTTGTTATAGAAGTCTTTATAGTTTGATGTAAAGGTTTTTGATAGTTACTCTAGTTTTTACAAGTTTTTATCTCCTCTGCCTACCTTTGGTCCTCCTCGACTCTCTTGCTGTGTAGGCATCCTCATGGTACAAAATTTAATTTGTGTAACCTACCCAACGAAAGCTTTTATGACTTTATTCTACCGTTACTTCAAACGTTTACGATTATGATTATTTCCTTTTGTAGATTAATCTGAAAAACAAATTTCTGAATGGATAATAAATGCTTAATTTCTTTTCTTTTCATCTTTATTTTTGACATGGTGTTATTTTCTCTTTCTTTTTCTTCCCCTCAGGTACAAGAGGATATTGGTTCTAGTTTCACACTCCCAGGACTTCTTGAATGGAGTCTGTACAAATATTCTACATGTACATAAACAGAAATTAGTTAGCTATGGAGTAAGTATTTCACTTTTTTTTTACATGTACATTTCATCAGCTAATCATAATCAATTGTTTAATACATAATGTTTGTTTGGAGCCAATATGACATAGAGTGTTTACAACTTTTGCTCTGGCATAGTTGCTCTGGGCTTTATGTTGTCAAAGATGTAAAATAAGGATTAATGTAATGATTTGATTATAGGTACAGGATTGTTGTTAGAAATTTGGTTAGTGAATGAAATTGACAACGAAGCATTCGCCTCTTCAGTCAACCAGTGCGGGCGGGGCCATCACATGATTATAAACAAACCTCTTGCTTTACCAGATTCTGAATAACACAATTTGTAGAAAAGGTTTTATAATGATGGTGGCTCCGCATGTAGAAAGAAATGTCACTACCTTTGCATGCTAGGAACCTATTATACCTTATTTGTCTAAGAAAAAAGGAATCCTGATGTCATGGTCTATATGTTCATACCTGAAACCTTCTTGTAGTGGCTCTCGTAAGCCAACTTCAATTGCAATTTCAGAACAATAATAATATTGGGTTCTTGTATAGCATGCACATCTGTTAGACTTTACACTCCTGGTGCTCTTGATTATTACCCTGGCTTTTAGCATGGCTGCCATTACGGCGCTCTAGCATTTCAAAGAATTAATTCCTGCCAGGTACTCATTTACATCACCTGGGTTGAGTGTGGCAAATGTAGATCAATGTCTTGCCAAAGGACATTTAGCGTTGCAGAGGGACTCGAACCACGGACCTTGTGATCCACAGTCCTGTGATTAACAGGAGCAGAAACCAGAAATTACTGTGATCAAGTTTGCTATTCCCTTTCCATGAACAGGCGATATTGAATAAGTAACGATGATTAGACAAAGAAACTCTCATTATTTCTTAACCACATTAAGACATTGAATTTTGACTAACACGTTTCTTTCTCTCTTTTTTTCGCCAGGGTAACTTTGATTCATACGTTAAGACTAGGTTTGAACAGGAAGAGAATCAGATGAAGAAATACCAGTGGGAACAGGATCAAATTGCTCATATGAAGGTAAGTGTAAACACCGTCTTCTGTAACCATGGTTAATGGAAACAATACCCTAGATTAGAATCCAGAGAAATCATCCTGTTTTGATTAATCATACATTATCTGATGCTGTAAAAGCTTTTAGTCCAATAATAAAAGACTGTAATTTACATGTTCTCTGCCTTTGGTGGTTGTACCAATATGTGCTAGATATGTGTGCTTGTGCTTTAGGGCTTTGAAGCTTCATGTCTTTTGAGAAGGAGGATTGTACTTGACTTTGAAAGAGTTTTTTGAAATTAGTTACGTCTTGGCCATCAGATGATTATACTCAACCTAAATTGCTTTACCAGATTCAGATTAATCTGTGAAGAGATACGGTATTCAATGATGATGGCTTTATAAATCAGTTAGTAATAACCTCGTAAATATCTATTATTGTACATCTCATTGAAGTTCATGTGTGTTTTAGTCCAGGATTGTCTGTGACACGATTTGACCAAAAATATGTAAGGGGCTAATCAATTTAGCTGGATAATTTCGCCAGAAGTCTGGTATATTATTGGTGGATGGGAGGGGGCAGGGAGCACAAACTCCATGAGGGAAAAACAATTTTTTTTCTCCCAATGAAATGCTAGGAACCGCAGAATCATCTCACGAAACCCTCATAAGCGTAAGTTTACCAACATCCCTTTGAAACGGTTTTAATTTTACTACATGAAGTTTCAATGGGATGTGGGTTAAATTGTACTTACATGTATCACGGTTTTGTGAAACGCTGCCCCTTAACATATCTTTCCAATGATGAACATAATGCAACCAGTAACTATACATTTTGTTCTACCTCTTCCACTTCAGAACTATATAGCCAGGTTTGGTCACGGTAGCGCCAAACTTGCCAGACAGGCCCAGAGTAAAGAGAAGACACTACAAAAGATGATTGCTGCAGGTCTGACGGAGAAGGTCGAATCAGACAAGGTAAATTGCGTAAAGTGATGTCAGTTTTAAGGAATTTTGTTTTTCCTGTAACATAGTGTAACGTATTTTGCGCTACTTGTGCCTGGGAGGAGAAAAGCGATCTGAATCACCACTGTAAGAAGGAGGAAACAATTATATTTGTTATAGCCTGACTTAATATTCATATTTAATATCCCTGTATTTCCCACTCTCCCCTCGGTGCTATTACTCCTCACATATTTGCCTGAATTCTACATTCTTTTAACAAAGTATTTTGAGAAGTAGGATTGTACTTAATTTTGAGGGAGTTTTAGAAATTAGTGACGTCTTGGCCATCAGATGATTATACTCAACCTAAATTGCTTTACCAGATTCAGATTCATCTGTGAAGAGATACGGTATTCAATGATGATGGCTTTATGAATCAGTCAGTAATAACCTCGTAAATATCCATTATTGTACACCTCATTGTAAATAGCGCGTCTATCAGTCCAGGATTGTCTGCGAAGAAACAATTATATTTGTTCTAGTCTGACTTTATATTCATATTTAATATCCCTGTATTTCCCACTCCCCCCCCCCCCCAAGTGCTATTACTCCTCACATATTTTTCTGAATTTTACATTCTTTTAACAATTATTGTATGATATTGTATCCAAGTAAAATACAAACAACAACAAACAAGCCAGTCGTGGTCGATTCCAGCGTAACAGCCTTACTTCAGACTTACTTTTGATCATTTATGAAAGTTTTAAGCAAAATCAAGAGTCCTCAAAATCATATTTAAGTACCGGTAAGTGAATCAGACACATTCCACTATCAGGGCCAGATATATCAAATTTTACAGTATTTCACTGAATTGTTGAGCAGCATGATTTTTGATTTTTTGTTTATCTCTCTTTTTTCTACAGACCCTATCGTTCGAATTCCCAGAATGTGGTAAGGTCCCACCACCTGTTCTGATGGTTCAAAATGTATCTTTCCGCTATTCGGATGACAAGGTAAGTTCCACAGCATACATTTAAAAGATTCAACAAACAAAAAACAAAACAAAAGTTCCACAGCATACTACTGGAATAAATGTAGAATACATTTTTGATAGTAAGAGGTTATTTCATTTCATTGGCAGGAGCACATGCAATGATAACAATAACAGTGAAAAGAAGACAATGAAGTCAAATAACGAATACAGAACAAATACAGTAACAAATACAGAACAAATATGATAATAGAGGTCTATTCCAACCGAAATCAAAATATGTGTTAGGGTGCCCTGTGAAGATATTAGGCAGAGCCATCTTATACAGGTTTTGATTTGGTGTAAAATGGTTCTGAAATTTAGGACTTGCTTTAGTGCCGGTTCTTTCGAAGCCTCTCTTGGGTGCATTTAGGTCTCGGACAGGTTTCTTGGTTTAACAAGGGCCATTGCGTCTTTTTTTTTTACTTGCACAAGGAGATTCAGCTGTGACTCCAAGTACATAGAGTTGTTTTTCAAGAAACTCTGTCAATCAGTTTGTGTTCCATCACGATTACATGAATTCCCACTCAAAGATGATGTATAGATTAAGCCAGTATAAATGAATAGTTCACTTTAAATTAATCCTTTATGTAACAAACAATATGGAAAGACATGTTCAATTTATAATTTTCTGCAAGTTTATAAGAGGATTCAAGTTCATGTGGGAGAATGATGACAAAAAAGGCCGAATTACAGTTACCCTTGACCTTTGTGTCAAGGGTCACGATGACAACAACAAACCAAAGCGATTTTAACCTGACTCCCACTGTAGCAGACTGAATGCCTCAAGTAGTATTTTGTACCAACTCGTATTTATGTGTAATGATATGGAGCAGAGGAAAGAGAAATTATGGATGAACCAAAATCTGTGAAACATTAAATTGGATCGTAGTCAGATATATAAGAATGCGTTGAATTGAAAAGAAATGCTAAATGATTTTTGTTCTTTTACGAACAGCCCCTGATCTACAAAGACGTTGAGTTTGGTCTGGATTTAGACAGCAGGATAGCCCTCGTAGGACCCAACGGAGCGGGCAAGTCCACCCTCCTCAAGCTCCTGGTCGGAGAGCTCCACCCGTCGGACGGACTCGTCAGGAAGAACTCGCATCTCAGGATAGGCAGGTACCATCAGGTAAGGTCAAAGGTCACGTTGGAAAAATTCCTCTTCACGATTAAAGGTATAGACCAGTTTTGGAAACGTCCCCCCCCCCCCTCTCAAAAAATGAAACGGAAGCTCTTATTACCAATCATGTGAAAGAATATGTTTTGACTAATACGTGATGATACAAATTTTGCCGGGAAACCCTCTACTAATTGATGCATTTGGTAATTTATCATATCGATACGGCCTGGATAGATATTGCGAATGCACTTCAACATTGAACATTTGGGCGTATATTTCTGATTTTTTGCGAATTTAGGTTGAAGTATTGCCATCTAAACCTCTGAAGGCAATATTTAAACAATATTGAATGGATATTTTGCACCCCAAACCCTTGAACTGCAATTTTTCCACTTCCAGACTTTACCTTTAACATCCATAGAAAAAAAGAAAGTATGGTGCACTGAAGGCAATAATTATCCAGCTGTTTCTGTGGGTTTTCATATTGAATGACACTTATCATATTCAGATTCCAGTGCTGTGGAATTAAAATCTAGTTCCATTAAAACTAAATCAATGTCTAAAAGTCGGATGTAAGAGACAAGATAATCACTAAGCATCTTATTTTCAATTTATTTGAAAGATATGTTGAGCAGCGTGAATACATTGCTCAATTATTTTCTTAACTTTGTTTTGGCATTTATGTCCATGTGGGAGAATGATGACACAAAAGGCCGAATTACAGTGACCCATGACCCTTTTGGGTCAAGGGTAACGATGACAACAACAAACCAAAGCGATTAATTCTGACTCCCACATTTAAAGACTGAGTGCCATTCATTTTTGTCTCGCCTGCGTAGCAAAAAGCGAGACATAGGCGCCGCTTTTCCGGTGACGGCGGCGGCGATGGCGACGGCGACGGCGACGGCGACGGCGACGGCGTCAACATCGAAAACTTAACCTAAGGTTAAGTTTTTGAATTTTTGATATAATCTTGAAAGTATAAGTTCTTAGTCAATGAAACTTGGACTATAGGGTTATCAAGTCTACCCAATCATGTGAGTAGAATTTCAGGTCACTAAGTTAAGGTCAAAGGCCATTTAAGGTCAACAAACTTAGACTTTGTTGTGGCATCAACATTAAGATTTTCAAAATGCTTCTTCTTCGTTATTTTTCAACCGATTTTGATTCTGATTGTTTCATATGATAGGGCTAGGAGGGGATTTAAAATTTCTACACAGAATCGTGAAATTCATTATCTATACTAATTTATGCAAATTAATTCGAAATCACAAAAAAGGCTTCTTCTCCTTCATTTCTCGACCGATTTTGATTTGGTTTGCTTTATATCGTAGAGCTAACTTTGGTACACTAAACTTCTGCACAGAATTTTGAAATTGTTCTCCATTAATTAATTTTGGTAATTTATGCAAATTTATTCCAAAAATAACAAAAATTGCTTCTTTTCCCTCATTTCTTGACCGATTTTGCCTTATCTGGTAGAGCTAAATTTGGAACAATAAACTTCTACACAGAATTGTGAGATTTTGCTCCATTGATTATTTATGGTACTTTATGCAAATGAAATGAAATTATCAAATTTCTATTTTTTGACCAGTTCAAAAGTGTACCACATAAAATTTACGATATTTGTTGTTGTGAGATGCGGATGAGCGCTACGTCATTGACGTTCTGGTTTATCATATTGAATTGCGTTATGCAGGCGAGACCGCATGCAGGCGAGACCCTTGTTATTTTGTCCATGTTTTCCTATTTCATCGAAGAACATTGAGGCGTAACATGCAAATAATTAAAAGTCATATTACTTTGAAAATCCAAACTGGAAGTGTACTGAGTCAATCCAAATATGACACAAAGCATCTATCTTTCATGTGTATGAGTATATTAGTTGCTCTCCTATGAAAGCGAAGCTGAGTTAAGTCAAAGTAGAAAAAACAATTTTTAGAATGTTGAAGAAGTAGAATTGATAGATGTGAATCCCTTTGAATGTTGTATTTGTGTCTCTTAAAGGCCCACTGCACTACTTGTAGCTACTTGCGCCCTCTATATAACAAACTAGTGCTGTAACATCACGGATATCTCCAATTCCGTTTAACCGCCAGTCAAAACCGGACGGTTTTCGGTTAAACGATTTATTAAAAAAAAAAAAAAAAAAAAAAAAAAAAAAAAAAAAAAAAAAAAAAAAAAAAAAAAATCGGCAACTTTCATTTAACTGCGAGGTGCATTTAAAGGGGCCGATTTGTGCTGGTGAACTTGTCACAAATAATAGTAACAATGTTGTTTTTAGAAGAATGTGTAAGATTAAAAATTAAAAACAGTAGAGGACCTAGTACAGAACCTTGTGTAAAAGTTGGATGAATTATTATTATGAACTACATATTGCGATGATGAGATCTATTACAAAGATTACTTTCAAACCAAGATGACAGACAAATTGGAGTGTTGTTCTAGTTTTGGAGTGGTGAGTCAACACACAGATTACTGAGCTGGGAGACATTGCCAGGCATAGTGCCAGGTGGAGGGGCATAAATCGAAACTTAAAAAAAAAAAAAAAAAAAAAAAAAAAAAAAAAATTATTAAAAAAAAAAAAAAAAAATATTAAAAAAAAAAAAAAAAAAAAAAAATCGGGAAAACGAAACCGTCCAATTGAAAACGGAATCCGCCATGGGCGGTCGGATACCGGACGGTTAAACGTTTGACTACAGCACTATAACAAACAATGCCTAATCGGTGACCATTGGTCCCCCATGATCCTCTTTTTCTTATGTTAACTGAGAGCTGAGTTGATGAGATAACCCCCTGTCTAGTGACCTTGCAGGGCAGTCTAATCCCTCCTTTAAACTATGGCAGATAAGCTTTAAAGATTAAATGTTGTCTTTTAAACTTTTATCGTACATGTCATTGCATTGACCTGGGCCCTGTCTTACAAAGAGTTGATATTAATCCCAATTTATTTGATTATTCAATCGCAACTATGTACATAAGAAATAGGAGATTGCAAACTTGCGATTGATTAGTGGAATTACGATTGATTTGGATCAATCGCAACTCTTGGTAAGACAGGGCTCAGTTAAACTAAATAATAAAGATTCAATACGATTACCATACATGCCAACTGTTCAGATTAAAGAGGAACATTCCTCTTTTTGGGAGAAGATAATTATCATTTTAATGCAGGTGTTCCTCTTCCTGTACAAATTTGTCTGTAGTATTGAATAGGAGAGTTAGGATTGTTCCTCTTTTTTTTTAAAATAGCATAATTTGTACAGATTTCTGATTTTCAAATGTTGGCATGTATGGATTACACTGACTCTAATGAGTTTTCCTTTTCTGCAGCATCTCCAAGACCTGCTGGATCTAGAAATGACTGCCTTAGACTGGATGCTGCAATGTTTCCCTAAGATTAAGGATAGGGAAGAGATGAGGCGGATTATAGGACGCTATGGACTCACCGGCAAACAACAGGTACGTATATCACAGTAGAAAGGTACTCTTTAAAGAGAAGGTTGAGTTCTGGGAAGAGGTGAAAAATAATTTGTGAACGTAATTGTTATTATGCAAGTGTGGAAGAACATCAGATAGAAATATTTCCCTCAAAAGCATGGCTCTTGAAATGCCTTAATATTCTAAACATGGCATGTAACAGCATAAAAATTGGGTAAGATTTTGATGCCACATGTTTGTGTAGTCCCATATACATATTTCTGTGTACATTGCTGGTAACTTTACCAAGACTAGGACAAATTTCTTAGCACTTTGATGATTCCAGAACCTTGCAGTAATAATAATATACCGTACTTAAAATAATGCATATCACAATATGTCTCTATGCGCTGTACCCACACCAATTCTTTTACAATGCAATTGCATGACCAGAACTCAACTTTATCTTTAAAGGTAAAGACCAGTAATGGTCATGCGATTGCATTGTGCAAGAAACGTTGTGGAATCGATCAGAAAAGGTTGATCATCTAGCATCTAGCATCTGCAAGGTTCTGGAATCATCAAAATGATAAGAAATTTGGCCCATTCTTCGTAAGGTTACAAGCACTATACACAGAAAGATGTATATGGGACTACCCTATATCTCTCACAGACCATGAGAGAAACAAATTTACCAGATATATGAATTAGTAGGCGGTTTCCCGGCAAATTTTTTATCATCATGTATTAGTCAAAACATATTCTTTCACATGATTGGTAACGAGAGCTTCCATTTCATTTTTTGAAATTGGGGCGTTTCCAATACTGGTCTTTACCTTTAAACAACTCTCTTGGTTGAGAAAGTGCAAAGTAATACACTGTGTAATAGAAAGGTAAATGGCTAGGTATGAGAAACTAACATTTAAAGAAAATTGCTACCTAAATGGAATTGAAATTAATAGCAGTCTTCTGCTTCCGCATTTGATTTGCAATTTCAAAAATTACTTAAAAATAATAATTAAAAAAATTAGTCCAAAAACAGTTTGCCCATGTCATTTGCTGTAGACTAATAGTTATGATGTAGGTTTCTTTTGATGAAATGTATTTTCCATCACTACCACAACTGAAGTTAACCTTTAAGATAATCAATCATCCATTCAGTTTCCTGTGCCCATTTGAAGACATGACTCGGTTATTAGTGTCGTATTGCCATCGGATGATTATACTCAACCTAAATTGCTTTACCAGATTCAGAATCGTCTGTGAAGAGATATGGTATTCATTGATGATGGCTTTATAAATCAGTCAGTAATAACCGAGACAAAGACATTGGGAACCTGAAAACTACTTTGCATGTAAATAAATGGAAAAAAGGCATTTCCACATACCCTGTGATATGTATTTTATGAGTACCGGTAATATATTCTTGATGTGAACTGAACTTGTGTCATTACATTTGGCCCCAAGCATTTTTACCTTCTCTCAAGTAAGTCTGTTGTGTTTTATGTGAATGAGGCTTGAGGTGGATGAAACATAAATGAGTACTCTTAGTAGAAGTGTCGTAGTCGAGTGGTTTAAGCACTCGACTTGAAATTCAAAGGTGGTGGTTCAATCCCAGATACGGCACTAATGTCCTTTGGCAAGGCATTAATCTTCATTCGTCACACTCGACCCAAGTGAGGTAAATGGGTACCTGGCAGGAATTAATTCCTTGAAATGCTGGAGCTCTGTTTTGGCAGCTAGGCTAAAGCCAGGGTAATAAATAATGCGCCTCAGAATAGAATTTCTAGATAGACAGCGCTATAGAAATGCTTATAATTATTATTAATTAATACTCTTGTTGTTTTCTTTCAGGTGTGTCCAATCCGTAACCTGTCTGACGGTCAGCGATGTCGGGTCATCTTCGCTTGGCTGGCTTGGCAGACTCCTCATCTCCTCCTCCTTGACGAACCTACTAACCATCTGGACATCGAGACCATCGATGCCCTGGCAGACGCTATCAACGGCTTCGAGGGAGGCCTTGTGCTAGTTAGTCACGACTTCCGACTCATTAACCAGGTAAGTTTATAATGTTTAATTGCTTTGCTTTGAAGATTTGATATTTGGGCCAGAATCATATTGTATTATATTATATATTATTATTGGAATTTTCAAAGGAACAGTCAATCTCTCAGAAGTAAAGTTATTTTTCAGGTGAAGTATGTTTTGGCATTTATGTCCATGTGGGAGAGTGATGACATAAAAGGCCGAATTACAGTGACCCTTGACCTTTGTGTCAAGGGTCACGATGAAAATAACAGACCGAAGCGAATAACTCTGACTCCCACATTTAAAGACTGAATGCCATTCATTTTATATTTTGTCCATGTATACCCATTCCCTTGAAAAACATTGACATTTATAACAGAAATGTTACATGTGAAATTATGGGATTCCTATTTTCTCCACGTTGGTTTGACAACTTGACCTGATGACCTTGTCCTATGTTCCATTATCGGAGCTAGGTCTGTCCCATCCAGAACTGACCGCATCTGGGCTCTGCTTCATAAAACTTGTTATCAATAATAAATGCTTAACTTCTACGACTAATTTGTGCTGTCAGCCAATCGAATGCCATGAATACAGTAGCTTATAACAGTTAAAGGGATTGGGTAACTTTGCCTGGGATTCTAAAAAGAATCCTGGATTTAGCTCATGCTGCAATCATAATTATAAACCTTTACATGATGTAGGTCGTACATGAATCCCATGACTTTTACAAGCCAGTCGCCTCTCTGATTATCAAGATATCTATGATTGGAATAACAAATTTCAGAATATGTTTTCCTAACAGTTTTCATAACACTACAGTCTATCGGGTAAAACCGGTCACTCAAAGATTTTTTTTACTTTTTTGAGGTACTTCATGATCACTTTGAAACGCAATTTTTTTTTTGCTTCAATATTGCACCATATCACAGACATGTAGGGCCATGCATCTCAGATTCAACATTGTTAAACGATGCCTTTAATGTAACTTGTTGGTGAAAACAATGCCTTTAATGTAACTTGTTGGTGAAAACAATGCCTTTAATGTAACTTGTTGGTGAAAACAATGCCTTTAATGTAACTTGTTGGTGAAAACAATGCCTTTAATGTAACTTGTTGGTGAAAACGATGCCTTTAATGTAACTTGTTGGTGAAAACAATGCCTTTAATGTAACTTGTTGGTGAAAACAATGCCTTTAATGTAACTTGTTGGTGAAAACAATGCCTTTAATGTAACTTGTTGGTGAAAACAATGCCTTTAATGTAACTTGTTGGTGATAATAAGCTTTATAAAAGAGGGCCCTGGTCTCATCCGTCTCTCTCTCTCTCTCTTTTTCTTGTCCATTTTCTCCAGGTTGCATCAGAGATCTGGGTATGTGAGAAGCAGGCGGTGACGAAATGGAAAGGCGACATCCTCTCGTACAAGAGTGCCCTCAAGAAGAAGATCTTAAAGGAACAAGCCAGGGAAGCAGCCGCCGCTGCCGCTGGAAGATAAGCTCACATTCGCAACCGTCAAAAGAGGCCTGACCCCCCTCCCTCCCCTCCCTCCCTCCCTAGAAGATGAAGTTGAGTTCTGGTCATGCGATTGCATTGTGAAAGCAACATTGTGGAATCGATCTGAAAAGGTTGATTAACTAGCATATTGGTGTGTAATGCAAGGTTCTCGAAAATCATCAAAATGATAAGGAATTTTACCCAGTCTTGGTAAAGTTACAAGCACTTTCACAGAAATATGTATATGGGACTACAACAATATATGGCATAAAAATCTGTCCTGATTTTTAAGATGTTACATGCCATATTAAGAATATTAAGGCATTTGAAGAGCCATGCTTTTCAGGGAACATTTTTGATCTGATGTTCTTCCACACTTGCATAATACAATGATAACGCTCACAAATTATTTTTCATCTCTTCCCAGAACTCAACCTTCTCTTTAACTGACTTACTGTTGATTGATGAAGCATTTACCATGGAATGCCTTTTTAATAGAGAATGATAAATAAATAGGTATCTGTGTAATTAAATTTTGCAAGGCAGAGTCATGGCGGAGTTTGATGATTGTAAGAGCTTCAATTATCAAAGTATTCCAATAAATTTTTGTGTTTCCCAGAAATTAAAATTGAGATACTGCTAAAGGTATATATTAACTGTTGAGAAGAAGAAGGTCATGTATTCTGTGGTATAGTAACTATGCAGTCATGCTCTTCTGACGCTCGGCAGATCATATATTCTTCATCTACATTCAAACCTGCCTCTTAGTGGCCACCTTCCTATGAAGTCTGTCTCTTAGTGGCCACCTCCCAAAGAAGTTCACCAGTCCTTGTGGCCATGAAGCTCGTCTCCCTTGAGAAAGAAATGTGTTGTACATGCATGTAGAACCTGTCTAGAAAGGCCACCTGTCTACAGCGGCCACTTCCTCCATTTTTCCTTGGGTGGTCTCAATAGACTGGTTTGACTGTATTTGCAACACATGATTTTAGAGTTGAACCTGCTTAAGTGGTCACCTGTATAGAAGGGTCAATTGCCTCATTAAATTTTCCAACCTCTTGAATGAATCATGGACCTTCAGGCCTTAACTTCTTCTATGTAGAAGGCCACGTAGCCCAGTGTAATCTCTTTACTGCTCATTTTGAAACAGTAACAAATTCAGTTGAAGTAAAATTTTAATGGAGTGGTTTGACTGCACGATGGCCGATTAATTGCCGATTGTAAAATCAACCGTCAAAAGCAATAGATGTATCACATTTCTATTCATAAACGGGATCCCTGACCAGTTGCAATACATACGATGCATGCTGTTTGTACCTGTGTGTTTGGATTGGCTGATGTAATGTGTTCACTTGTGAATGTCCGTGTGCTCTGTGTCTGGTGTGTATGAAACTGTAGCACGGGTTAATGATGGGGAAATTCTTCAGGTCTAAATGTCTACAAATCACTTTACCTCCAGAGATAATACAAATTTTTTGTTTAAAAATGAAATGACCTTTGACCACATAAACATGTCCATTGTTTAAAAGGGGAGGGGGGGGGGGATAACTATGCATTGTACATTGTATTTCTACTCACACTACAATCAGGTTGTGGGGCCATAGCTTGGGATTTAATACAAATGAAATGCACGAGTCTAGAACACATAATAAGTTATGCTAGTGACATGGATAATATCGAGTGTTGTCGTGCTTGTGTTTGCAGTTGATTCAAACCAATGTTAAATGTGGCCCAGTTCATGCTACAACAATGCTATTAATTTTCTGCAAATTAAGTGTTGGCATTGTTTGCAAGAAGGACTGTTCCTCTATGAATTAAACAGTATTCTTGGTTTAATTCAAAAAAAAAGCTAGACATGAAATGGTTATCACTATCCCTGTCTATGCTGTTGTTTTATAATAAAGGTAAATATGTTAACTGTAATGAAATGTCATTGTTTACTTTTTTTTGCTAACGCAGATGTACCATGAAATGCAAGTGTTGCATCGATATGCAGGGCATATTAAAATACACTTGCCAAAACTTCCAATCCTTGTAGGCACTGCATTCATGTCTTGAAAGTGCCCATGAATTAAGTTCTGGAAGGCTTTTGAGGTAATATTGTAAAATTCTGTTCGTCAAAATTTTGATATAAGACGGAGAATTCAAGCCATAATCATTGTGTATGGCACATGTGATTTTTAATGAAAATCGTTTTTAAATTTAGTTGTATAGTATAGGACTGGTATTGTCTTTTTTTGCTTTGTTTCCATCATGAAAGTGTGTGCGAAATGTTATTTCAGGTTGCATTATGCAAGCATTGTAAAAATATATAAAGTTAATAAATATGTATGTATTTATCATATTTATCAATTACACTCGCGGCATAATGTGATATTCATATATTTGTGTAGGAGGATATTTTGGTTAGTAAATTACACTGACACATACGGGTATCAGTGAGTTTGCTATTCCTTCCTAAGAAAACATCTTAATATATCCAATTTTATGTATGGCTAAAAAAAAATGCATGATATAATGAAATTGTGGCATTATTGCGTAACAGTTGGACTTGCAGTTGTGCAATTCCTATATGTTAACTTTGAATTTTTATGCTCATTTGTGCGATTGGTTCTTTAAAAGAAAATCAACCCCCTCAGGCTTTCTCAAGTCAATTGCAGATACGGTAAAAGTAATTTAAATTATTAAAATCCATTACATTTCCCATAGCAAGTGATTGTGTTATTTGCACCTCCACAGAACCACGATCATTTGGATAACATGCTAGTTATGTATTCTTACTCTACATTGAACAAATTGAAGGCATGGTAAAAAAAAAAACACCCCATAGTCGTGGAAAGTCAAGGAAATTGTTAAAGGAGGGCCATCACATACATGAAATTATATATATCACTACATGGTCTTCATATGCTGTTTGGATGCCACAACCCGTACCCAAATGGTATTTATGTGGTCATGAAAGAAGGAAAATATGGGACGTGAATAGTCACAGAATTTGGTTCAATTTTTTTTGTGGGAACCCCGATTAAGAAATAGTATATAAAGTGTATGGAAACAAGAACATGTATGTAGCCTTGGTTTATAATTGCTCAATATGTTTACATTAGATTTTTTTAAAAGTAGTACGATATATACCGGGATTTAGTTTTTCTCAGGTGCAGTATTTTGCACAAATTTTGCACTGAGTTTCTCATATAGTTTGCATTTATTTTTGTTTGCCTGAAAATATATAGTTTTTATGACTTGATTCTACTTGTTCAAGTATTGACTAGTATTTAAAAAATGATTCAATACATTACAAGTAATTTTTGGTTTCTTTTTAAATATATTTATGTTAGCATGGAATTAAACCAAACCAAATTAGAAAATACATAAATCCAGCTGTCATTCCTTGTGTTGTAAGAATTGTTGTGTATGTAGGTGTGTGTGTTTGTGTGTGTGTGTGAGAGAGAGAGAGAGAGAGAGAGAGAGAGAGAGAGAGAGTGACACAGACTGAAAGATATGGGAAGGCATAAATGAAAGGAAGGATAGAGAGAGAGAAAAGGAATGGAGAATAATTGCAATAATAATTTTTAAAAAGTAGCACTTAGTACGCTCTACCAGGTAGAATAGTACGGTACACTATATGAAATGAAAGGGGGAGGGGGGGGGGGTCAACTATTCTAGGGAGATATATATTTTCAAGAATTTCTTAAATTGGTCTGTGGAATAAGCTAATTTAATGAAAGATTGGAGAATAGAGGAGGAAAATAAAAACGAACAAAAAGGATCAGCCAAAAAGAATGATTGTAAATTATTGAAGAAAAAAGGGAAAGGTTTCCTAGTAATGAAAAAAATCACACAATATAGACATATATAATTCAGGAGTGAATAATTATATTTATATAAAAGGCACTCTGATATGTACAATTTCTATTATAATTTTTACATATGATACATATAGACATACAAAAAAACACTATCAACCTTCAGATTGAAAGGGTACCGGACAAAAATTAGCAAAAGCTCAAGGTTTGGTAATGCAGGTTTATAAATGTACAAATATGAAAGAATATCACCGATATTTGCCTTAATTTAGGATTAGAATTGTGTTATTAGTAAACTTCATACACATTGGCCCGAATTCACAAAGCAAGGTTTGAGCTCAGACCAAGGTTTGTCGTCAAACCTCCTTTTGTTTCGCCAAACCTCCTTTTGTTCTTTTCAAACCAGGTTTGTAAATAACAAAAGGAGGTTTGGCGAAACAAAAGGAGGTTTGACGACAAACCTTGGTCTGAGCTCAAACCTTGCTTTGTGAATTCGGGCCAAGATGTCTCAATTTTTGTACATGTTTAATATAGCAAAAAATCTGTGGTATATTCTAATTTCATATAATGGTTTAATGCCTCGACAGTAAAAGAATGGCATACTCATCAAATTTGAAACTCATAAATTCTATTGATCATTTCACTACACTACAAATCTCAAGGTAGGTGCAGAAGCCATTCATGGGCTTCGTATGGACGGATTTGTTTAAGACTACAAGCAATGACAGTTGATATAAATACTTTAATACAGAAGGAGAAGAGACTATAAATTAAAGGAAAAAAAAGGTACAAGCACAAGAAAAATTATCAGACTGCTACACTGACCTATCAGATCATTTTTCATGTACATGTTATGTATACTTGTAGGAATCTAAATGCCACAGTTTGAAGATAGTGTAGTACGTGTAGTGTTGCAGTTTTTCTGACAGATGCTAAGGTCCGAGATTGTTTCTACTGACGTGACAGTGTTTCACAAAGAAGAATATCCTTTACTGTCATATGATGATCTGCTTCCATTGAAAATATATCAAGCTATCCCAACTTTCTACCATTCTTCAAAATAACAGAAATGGGAAAGTGGATTGCCTTTTCCATCAAACATTATATCTCTACAAATTATAGTAAAGTACAGTGAGGATCGAGCATTATCAAACATCAGTTTCCATGTATCCTGAAACACTTATTTTAAGCCCTACCATGTCAGTATGTTTACGATTGATTATATCCCATTACTGTCCTTTCACAATTTAATTGTTATAAGTTTCATTCATGTTTTCATTGTTGCATCTTCCTCAGGAACAATCTTTACAATGTTACATACTAATTTCTTTTTCAGGAAATACGATCTGGCTTTTCTTATTTGATTTGGTGTCCAGTCAAGAGTGAAATTTCTAGGTTAGCCGATGCTGCAGGAAAACAACAAATCAGGGACAGGAAATCAAAGGCATCGATCATCCACACAAAGATCAATGTAAGATAAGGTCACGGGTCGTTGCTAAGGTTATTCATATGGATGACTCTCACCTGTATTGTATTACTTCTTCAAGAACGAGAAATGGAAACGGGAATTTTTTTTGGTGTCCAGGCATCGGTCATCTTGGCAAAAGTAAAAAAGTCAATGCAAGACAATGTCAGGGTAGTTCGTAAGTTTATTCACATGGATGACTTAATTTCTCCTGTATCTTCTCTCCAAGTTGATTGTATTGCTTCTTCAAAAACGAAAAATGGAAACAGGAATTATTTGGTGTCCAGGCATCGGTCATCCTGGCGAAGGTCAATGTAAGACAAGGTCAGGGTCGATGATAAGGTTACTCATATGGATGACTCTCTCCTGTATCTTCTATCCTAGTTATTGTATTGCTTCTTCAAGACCAAAAAAGCTGGAAACAGGGATTATTTGGTGTCCAGGCATCGGTCATCTTGGCGAAGGTCAATGTAAGACAAGGTCAGGGTCAATGGTCAAGTTATTCATATGGGTCACTCGTTCCTGGATCTTCTCCCCGACTTTGTTGTATCGCTTCTTCAGGAATAACTCCAGCTCACGTTCTCTCTTCTCCCTGCAAAACATAGAGGAAGGGAGGGAGGGAGGGAAGAGAAATATTTGTGTAAGATGGAACAAATAAAAGTACAGGTCCTATCTGGTACATATGAAAGCCTTCTCCTACCTGTCTCTTATGCCTGATCAAAAACGGAATGTTTATGTCTATTATTAATATATATAAAGATGCCTTCTCTCGCCTTCTCTTTTCTCCCTGCAAAACATAGAGGAAGGGAGGGAGGGAAGAGAAATATTTGTGTAAGAAGAAACAAATAAAAGTACAGGTCCCATCGGGTACATTTGAAAACCTAATTAAAAATAAAACGTCTGTGTCCATTATTAATCTATATAAAAATGTCCCGAAGTAGTGTTTATGTGTCATTTTGCTACACAGTAATTTCCCGAAAGTCAGCTTTGTGTTATGTTCTTGCTGATTTTTCTACTCAAATGAAAACCAAAACATCATAATTGAGTGATATGAGTGATATGAGTGATACCCTCTGAAAACTAACCAAGGGGTAATATACAATTACATGTATCGTCTATACTTCTGAAAGCCTAAAGCCCTACCGCACTAGTTTGGCCAGGAGGGATTAGACCTTCCTGCATGGTCACTGATTAGGCATTGTTTGTCATAAAGAGAGCACAAGTAGCAGTGGGGCTTTAAAAAAGAATAGGTCCAAACTCTTGCTCCCTCATCCACTAGCATCTAATCAGGGCCCTGTTTCAAGAAACTTATGAGCAGTAACAAAAACCAATAACGGATATACATTTAAGCTACAGAAGCTATTGAGTGTGATACGCTATTAGCAAATTTGCCTGTGAGGAAATTGCAGCCGTTATTACTGATCAGAAGTCTTGTGAAAACAGGGCCCAGGTGAGGTACTTACCTAGGAACCGGTCCATTAGATGAGACTGGGTTATTGTGCGTAGGAAGCTTGGAACCATAGGGAAACTCCTCACTGCAGAGTAATCAACCACATACAAAAACAGCAAAGAAAACAATGTCAACAACAACAGCAAATAACAATAACAATGTCAACTACAAAAGAACAAGGACTACACCGACAATACATCATTGTAACAACAAAGACTAACATTATCGACATTAAACAAGGGTAATGTCGCAGAGGTACTAAGGAACTTGATTTAGTCAAACTTAAAGGCATCACAGATTTTCTAGCAATACCTGCATCCCCCAACCATCTGATGCAAAGTTAAACATGGGGAAGATGTAATTTATAACAAGCTTGTTCTAGTAAACATGACAACATCTGAAGCACCCCATCACCAACAAATCCACAACCATTACCTCTCAAACTAACTCTATCACCACTACCACCACCACTACCATCACCACCATTACTACCACCATCACACCACCACCACCACCACCTCCACAGATACCATCAGCACTAATTTGCAGGCACAAACCCTTGTTTCTCATTGTTTGTATTAAACAGACAGCCTAAAATGTAAAACGTAAAAAGCCGCCCCTACCACAGACCGACCGAATTAGGCTCCATCTGCTCAAGGCTTTATGGAATTGCGTTTAAGCATCAGATCAGATTCTGTGCCTGCAGACATTAACACCAGCACCACCTCAACCAATACCACCAACACCATCATCACCATCACCATCACCACCACCATTACCAACACCATTACCAACACCATTACCAACACCATCACCATGACCACTATCACCGGAGCTCATGCTGCATCACCCTATTGGGGGATGGTAATACGAAAGAAGGGGAAAACAGATCTAAACAACCCCATCCACAAGAAATGGTAGCCTTCACTTCAAAACACCACCACATGGCTTACCTCTCGGAGGGTTGTTGTTGTTGGTCTGGAGCTAGTGGTGCGATGATGAGAGGGAACTCGGCATTGACCATACTTGGTGTCAAGGCAACGTTGTGTGTTTTGTCCTCCTTTGCTTCATCATCATCATCATCATCATCACCACTGCAAGGACAAAACATACATACGATATGCTATAATGGAAAATACACATACAGTCGAACCTGTCCTAGTGGCTACTTGTCTATACAGGCCCTCTGTCTATACTGGCCATGCATTTTGTCTCCCTTGAGTAAGAAATAAGTGTGTAGAACCTGTCTACAGTGGCCACTTTTTCTGTTTCCATAGAGTGACCCTTTTAGACAGGTTTGAATGTATTGTAAAGACAGCTACATGTGTGGAACTGGGACTGGGACTGGGACAGAAGGCTTTTTGTCACAGATATAAGGTTTAATTTCTTAGCCTTTTTTCCTGTCCTTGGTGTACCAAGGGTTGTATTACCGGTATCTTTTGTCCGATATATGGTCTATTGTCTGTTTTCTGATTTCTTATGTATTCTCTTTATTATCAAATAAAATAAAAATAAAAATAATAACTGGTTTGAAGGCCAAAAAGCAGAAATGATTCCTTTAAAATAAGGATGGCTGGCAGCTTGGTTGAGTGAGGATTGAAAATTATGCTACTTACGAGTCATCTGAGAGGATGTTTTCCTTGTCTTCGGTTGGTAACCCATCCAAGAGCTCTGGTACTGACTCTGGAAGTAGATCTGGACTGAAGGTATCCGTCCTGTTGGTTTGAAAGATACAAGAATAGCAGGAATCAGCACAATCATGTTATGCATGAAACACTAAACATTGATGACCGCACATTTGGACAGACAACATTTTCTCTGTGCTTTATTTTATCCAAGATACGGGATAAGGGTAGGATTTATAGGTTAGCTACAAGGTGAGGGTTAGATAAGGTATTTGGCTCTGGGCTGATGTCAGCAATTTGGTTAGAGTTAGAAGTTTACTGCAGGGCCCCATTTCACAAAACTTTTCAAATGTCATCAATGACAAATGACAGTGTTTGTTATAAGCTAGTGAATTGTCCCTGATTTTTGTCATTCGTCATTAAATATATACGTAATACAATTCTCATACACCTTAATTCTTTCCAAGCACTTACCAGGGGTGATAGTGAGCACTAAAAAAAAAATAGGTTTTTTGTTTTCCCCTCAACCACGCCCCCCTTGAGTAAAAATAAAAAAAGAGGATTCGTGGGAAAAAATGGCATCTAACAACATCCCCCCTATCGAGTAAGAAAATTGGGGAAAAATAGGGAAAATTGGGGGAAAATAGGGAAAATTGGGGGAAAAAAGAGGGCAAAATAGGGAAGAATAGAGAAAATAAGGGGAAAATCAGGATAAATTTTGGGAAGAAAAAAAAATCTGGTTTAAAAAAAAAAAAAAAAAATGGATTTTTTTTTTTTTTTTTTTTTTTTTAAATCAGGAAGAAAAAAAAATCTGGGAAAAATCTGGAAAAAATCAAAAAAATCGGGAAACCGATTTAAATCGGGTTTTTATCAGGCCTGACTTACTGACATTTTCTCTTTCACAATGAATTGCATGATTAGTAGTCGACTTCATCATTGATTTCAATGGTTGAATGGTGATTTTTTTTTCTTTCTACTCACCATCTCGGTACCCAGACATTGGTTAGGGTTGGTGTGTTAGCCAGCGAGACCAGTCCTTGAGATGGGAACTTCTTCCACGCCATCACTCCTTTTATTACATCCTGGAAGAACGAAAGGTCAAAAGGTCAAACTCATTAGTGCGGCTCTTGTAAAACGGGGTTGCCAGTTTGGCAATCTAGAGGATTGCTTAAAATGCCAAACTCAAATTTTGCTGGTCATCTATAGAGAGAACTGCACTTTATTTCACATTAAAAATGATAACAGTGAATTGTTTTCTTCTTCAGTTTCCATCTAGGCAACTATAAGTCTAGACTTATATGCTTCCCTGAGAGACACACGTGTGTGTGTGTGTGTGTGTGAGAGAGAGAGAGAGAGAGAAAGAAATGAGGAGAGAGAGAAATTATAATGATAATGTATACATGTACAGTCAAGCATGTTTATAAAGGCCACTCAAGGGAAACAGAAAAAGTGGCTACTGTACGCAGGAAGCCTTTCTAGACAGGTTCTACGACTTACATTATTTTTCTTCTCAGGGGAGACAAAACACTTCGCCACTATAGATAGGTGGCCTTTATAGAGAGGTGACCACTAAGACAGGTGGCCTTTCTAGACAGGTTCTGCAAATTTTTCTTTCTCGAGGGAGACAAAATACTTAGCCACTATAGAGAGGTAGCCTATACAGTATATCGAGTTTGCCATTAAGACAAGTGGCCTTTATAGAAAAGTGGCCACTATTATAGAGAGGTGGCCAATAATACAGGTGGCCTTTATAGAAAGGTTGCCACTATAGAAAGGTGGCCTATAAATAGAGTTTGCCACTAAGACAAGTGACCTTAATAGAGAGGTGGCCACTAGCTAGGACAGGTTTGACTTGTACAGGTACACACCTCTTTGTCCAGGTATCTCTTGAGGGTCGCCCCATGTTTATTCTTGGGGTCTGAGTGGGTGTACCTGGGCAAGGGGCACAGATGGAAGTCTGGATCCACCTCGGCGTAGGGCAACGGGGGTAGGAAGACCTGGAGACCGGGCGCAGGGTTCTGAATGGCAAAAAACACAGAAGGAGATGCATGCTAATAATCATAATAATAACATATAAGATTTGTAAGGCACTGAATCCACTTGAAATTGTATGCTCAAGGCGCACTTGTGAAAGATTTTTTTATTTTTTACAAAAGAGCATCTGCATTATAAGCAAAGGAACAGAAGTAAGAAAGAAAATACATAAAAATTACAGAACAATTAATTAAATGCTCTTTAAACGGGTACAATTTAAGATATTTTCACGAATCTCTTTAGGGAGAGCATTCCAAAGCGAAGGCTCTGCATGAGCAAAGGTTCTTTCCCTCCACTTAGTGTTTTTTCCGACTAGACTGAATATAGCATTGAGTGACAACAATCCAGCAGGAAAAAATATGATTATTCATAAAATGGCACAAGCCTTAAAAAACTTTTAAAACGTATATACATATATATTTATATATAATTTGCAATTAGATAGGGAGGGCATGTCAAAAAAAAATCTATTAGCCTGCACAACTTTTATTTCCACAAAATAAATTTGAACAAACTGTCAAGGCAATTCATGTTGGTATGAACAAAAAAATGATTGTATTGCATAAGATCAAGACACTGCTGATTGAATCCACTCACAAATATATGAAGGGATGGGTAGTCTACTGATTTGAAGATCCCAGCGGGAGGCACGAGCTGGGCTGCCGTCTTCCTCGCCTCTCCTGTAACCAGCTCCATCGGTTCCTCCTCATCATCATCCTCTCCATCGATGCCTTCCAATCTCTCTACGGCATCATCATCCTTCTCCTGCCATGCCTGTTCAGGTACCGGCATCGTGATCGTCTCGTCCTGAAAGTCAATGAGAAGGTCATGGTGAAGGTCAAAGTCAAAAGAAAGTGAAATCATATTTGGGGGATATCTTCAGAGCTACCTAACTTTTAAGTAAGTGAATCTTCTTTGACAACAAATATTTAAAGGGGATATTGAATATTCTGGATTGTAGGGTATGGAAAGATAAAATATATGAAAGCCTTATACAAATTCATGATGAATACCTATGTGGTCCATGTCCTAACCAAATTATCTGCTTCAACCTTGGACCATACAGTATGCTCCTGACACTTGCTCTAATGCAAAATCTCTCATAAATTCCAATTGTAACCCAAGTCCTAATTCTATTTCTTTGATGAAATAATGAAGAAAGCAACTGTCATCAGAATACATGTTGGGTCCCCCTTATACACGACCCTACATTTTATGAAAATGGGGAAGAGCAGTAACTGTCAATAAATTCTGTCAAGGGCATGGTATCTGATCCCATAACTGACCACCTTTGGATGCTGTATAAATATTCAAAACGATAATAATAATAATAAATAATACATAAATTGAAATAGCACTTGATACAAAGTATCATATTATTACCCCAGCTGTACCTGCATAAGCCGCCATGATTAGGCACTTAAGCATTCCAGGAATTTCTTCCTAGGGGTACCCATTTACTTCACCTGGGTGTAGAGTGGCAAATGTAGATTACTGTCTTGCCAAAGGACAATAGTGCTGCGGCGGGACTCAAACCACAAACCATGTGATCCACAGTCCGGTGATATACCGGGTTGCATCAGCCAAACTTTGGAATAAACTACCAGAAAATCTAAAAAACTGTGGTACTGTTGACAACTCGTCAAACATTTCTTTTCAAAAAATACTTTCCAATGTCAACGAGAGGAAGTATGTTGAGCATATCTCACTCTTCTTATTGTTACTCTACCCACCTTTCCTTCTTACTCTTGCTTACAGCGCATAGAGACATATTGTGATTTGCCCTATATAAGTACGGTATATTATTATTAATAAAATCCCACTAAAACATGACAATGGAAAAGCCTAATTAATTCCTTGCTAAAATGTCGAGGTCGGTAAAGGATCAACTTACCTCTGCACCCGTCCTAAGGGGTCTGACCAGCTTGGGCGCCACATAACCACTGGCTGCATCCAGGACGCTGTGAGCCTTGTAACCCATCAGCCGGTACTGCTGGGGCACCTTGAGGCCTAGGTAGGGTACCTTCCGCTTCACCTCGATGTCCGTCGCCTTGGCAGGGACAATGCCTAGTGCATCAGGGGCCTGGTGTATACAACAAACATAAGGTAAGTCAGTGCATTATCAATAAAAGGACAATGGCTCAAGGACCACGATATATAAATTTTAAAAGGCATATCAGTGTATCAAATGTTATTTCTAAAACATTATTTCTTCAGTTTCACTGAAAGTGGAATACCCTTGTGTAAAATATACTAAATGCATGTACATGTGATAACTGTTAATGCTTGATAGTATACATGAACAAGATCCGTTCCATACATCTTTTGTTGGCAGTCCCTACTTACAAATAGTTAGAAATATATCTTTCATATCTGCGACGAGGAATTTTTTCTAAAAACAATCTGGATATCCAGAATGAATTTAAAGGACATACCAATATTAAACAAATACAAGGTACCTCTCTTATGTTTTTTATTTTTGCACCAAAGAATTCCTGGCTTTTTCATTTTTTACATCATGAAAAATGAAAGGACTAACAAATATACAACACCATAAACCCATATCAGGATAGAATGGCTAATCTTGAAAGTGAATTGGCGGCTAGCGACAGATGTGTTGCCATTTTGTGTGCGTTATCTTTTATAAGCAATTGTGCCTAGCTAGCCTGCTGTTTGTGTCTGTTCATGAAACCAAAGAATGAACAATAATTTTACAATTTTAAAGTACAATCGACCAGCACGTTGCCATTTTGAAATCATAGATAAAATGGCTACTTTTGAAGTTGAAAGCTCTTACCATATCATCCTTGTAGTCAGGTGAGATGTATGATGGGAAGGCGTAGGTCAGTAACTTGTCAGAGCCAACTTCTAGCGGCAGGTGGTCATATTTGGCCTCACCATTATTACCAAAGGTCACTGAAAATAATACATTGATAAAGACATTAAAATGATTAAAATAGAGGTATGGATAAATCAATATATACATGCACCAAAAACCTAATTCTGATGATAGGAAATTTCATGAGGATTGAAAGAGCCCAATGTATATATTGGAATAGTATAAAATGCATTATAAAACTGGTTATAGAATGTAGGCGATCAAATTGGTCTAATGGCAACATGTGACCATGCATCACTCTTTCCTACCACGTCTTCCCTGCAAAAGTTCCCATCATAAAGTGCTAAGCCACTGAAATAAGTGATAACGCATGGCTAAGATGCATACAGTCAAACCTGCTTTAGTGACCACCTGTCTACAAAGACCACCTGTTTACAAAAACAACATTTTTTGTTTCCCTTGAAAATGGTTTTTCATTGAAAAATGTACTAAAGGAACTTGTCTACAAAGACCACCTGTCTACAAAGACCACTTTTTGTGTTTCCTTTGAAATGGTTTCTCGTTGAAACATGTACTAAAGGAACCTGTCTACAAAGACCATTTTTTGTGTTTCCCCTTGGGTGGTCGCTATAGACAGGTTTGACTGTACAAGTTCAAGACGTGATGAAATGCAAGCAGTTTCAATTGACATGGACACTGATGCCCGCACTGAGATGCGTGTTGTACTGACTGGCTGCGCTTATGTGATGTCATTCAATAAAGCAAATGGTGGCCTCCATGACTATGCGAGACTTGGCATTTTCATCGAGTTTCTTGCTTTCATATTGCAGACCTGTTTAATAAAACAAATAATTCACATATTGAAACATTAGTGATGTGCACTGCACCCGGATAAGACACAATGAGCCGGATAATGAACTTGACAAATATTGTTCATTATCCGACTGCGACCTAACCTGTGTGGGTGCATATTCACTTATGTAATCGCAAACATGAATTCCTTATAATAATATTAGGACATATTGTACCAATACCAGGGGGGTGTTTCACAAAACCTTTGTTCAATGACAAATGGCAAAAATCAGTGACAAATCTTCTGATAACCAATCAGAAGCAAGGATTTCAGTAGCTTATAACAGTAGCTTGTAACTTGTCATTGAAAAAAAGGCTTTGTGAAACGGGTCCCAGCCCTTACCTTTCTCCACCTTCCCAGCATTGCCTGACCTGTACTCCTCCACCAGCTTGCTCAGCTTGGACCACTTGTCCGTCGCCCTCTGCCTCAGAATGACCTTCTGAACGGCCTGCTGGAAGCGTCCGACGGCCCGGTGCTTCATGGCCCAGGGGTCGTTGCAGTAGAGGTCAAACTGGGCCACGGGGTCGGGGACGTGGGTCATCCGCCGGTAGGTGCGACGCTGGGTGCAGGTGGTGGAAACGCGGTTGAATTCTATCTCTGGAAGTGGGTCTCCTCTCTTGAACTGCAAGACAGAAGATGATTAAAGTAAATGTAGTTTAGCTTTGTTTCTCGTACATATATCCATATGTGTTTCTCTCTTATTCTTGTTCATTGTTTATATATGTACATGTTAATATGTCAGTATATAATTATATGTTCCCCTCTTATTCTTGTTCACTGTTTATATCTACTGTAAATATGTTATATGGACCTCTGCTCTTGCAGCGGAGTCTGGAATAAAGTCTTGAATTGAATTGAATTGAATGCATTTTATGGGCTATATCGGTGGAAATTACACACAAGATTTTAGAGGCTGTACAGTATGTCTTGACTATGAATATCTATTTTGTCCTTCCTAAACAAACAAAGTACAAGCAGTGCTTATCATTACCACTAAAGATTTATTTATTTGTCAAGTCTTTTAAAATAAAACAGGAGAGATGAACTAAAATGCAATTCATGAAAACTGTCCATGAAGACAACTTCACAAGAAACATTGCATAGAATAAACCCTATGTTGATCACATCAAATGAACAATATATTGAACTGTAAAAACACTAAGATGATAAAGATAGGGTGGCATATAACTCACATGATAATCTTTGAGAGCTTCTTTTCTTGTTTCTACAATCTGCAATCTCTCTTCTTGGAGCATCTGATCTCTGCCAAGGTGGACTTGCCTGTTTAAAAGAGAAATGAATGAATTTAAGAATGGCTGTCTTTAAATTGGATGGGTATCATATCTGCTAGTGTTCTGACAATGAATAAAATAATGAAATTTTAATCAGGAATATAAATATCAAAAACTTGTTAAATGATGGTATGAAATTGCACTTTGTAACTATGATGTCCCCAATATCATCATTGTATATCTAGGGAAGATGTACTGGTGGATTTTTATTTTAAAAGTACAAACTACATAATGTTACAGAATTGTTCATTACTTCACTATCTTATTGTATTTGGGTTATAAATGCACTTCATTGTTGCGATTTCAAATTATTATATGATTCCCAGAATTGGTCTTTGTTGTAAAACCAGAAATTTCTGCAAACTTTGTGAGTGGTCAAGATTCCACGCAAATCCATGCTCTAAAATATATCATAATATGATATTTTAGGGAATTCATCAAAGTCTTTGGTTTTCAAACTGGTTGTCATTAACATTCTCATAATGTAGCATGCTGCAGAAGCTTCTGGTTAAATAACAAACAACAAAGAAAAGGTTTCTATTTCTAGGATAAAGTCAAACACTCACCATCTTATCTGGTTTCTCCTCTCTGCCTGTACATCATCCCTCACTTCTCTATCAAACACAGCTTCCTGCAAAAAATAAAATAAATTATGAGTCATCAAATATACAAGGAGGGAGAAAAATCACTGTAGCTTTATCTCTATATTTTGTTGATAAGAACCAAAGCTCGATCTTAACAGTTTTTTATTGTGAAAATGATGTGCCTTTTGCATCTTTAATTCACAATTCCCATTCACGGCGGGATAACTGATATTTGTATGTGTAGATATAGGTGTTTGCTTTTAACTCTTATATTTCAAAGTTTTTTAAATTTTTACTTTGATATTCTAATTTTTGGATTTATATTTTTTTTAAAGAGGAAATTAGTAACTTTCACTTTTTTTTTTTAATACTTTCTACAAATATTGAACAAGCCCTGCAAATGTTAAACTTGTCATTTATCGCATGATTTTACCTTCAATTGCCTTGGGTTGAGAGCTTGGGCAGTCCCCGATTTAGATTGTACAGCTGGAATTGAAAGACAAGGAAATCATTTATATATTTTGTTACTTCTTCACACACAAAACAAAATGCACAAAGTTTGTTACAAATGTATGGGATTCACACTTTTGAGATCATCTGATATTTTGGAAGAAAAAGTTAAAATCTGATATGGATTTATCTATCAAAGAGTGTTTTCCTCACATTGAATATACTTGCTAGTCTTTAAATCATGTATGAATTAGTTTCAACAGAACTTTCAAACTTAAATCGAATTGATCTCCTTCCTGACCTCTCAACTTGCATGTATACATCTTACTTTGGTACCAGTTTCTCTCTCTCCTCTTTCTCTTTACAAAAATTCAGCCTAAACTATAAAATGACTTTCAATTTCAACAACAATCTACCTTAATTTTGTTTTCTTCTCATAACAGTCTTCATTACATCAACCTCGTCAAACAAATACTTGATGATTAAGATGAAAGAAAAGACTAATCACAGTTCATCATAATCACCATTGATAACCTTTCTAAATATCTCTTTGACTGATTTTTAACTGACGGCCATGTTTCTCTTCATCATACTACCCAATAATTTGAAACATCTTCCAAGAAAGGTAAATTAGGAATTCCTTGTGACTTCTTTCCCTTCTGATCAAACTTACCTTCCCTTATCTCCTTTGCTGTCAGTTTCCCTGGTGTCTGCAGTAGCACCGCATTCACAGAATGCTGGACGTTCAAGTTGGCTGGAAATCTCACACCATTCTTCTCAGTGCCTTGATCCTTGGTTGGCTTGACCACGGTGACAGTCTTCTTCTTAGCGGTCTTGCCCGTTCCTTTTTTTCTCCTGGCCATCGATATGGGTGAGATGCACTGGGGGTCAAGCTGGATGGCTGTGTTGACCGGTGAGAGCGGACCTTCTGTTGCAGTGTCAGTGTGTTGGGTTTCTTGAGGACTGTAAACAAAAATTATGAATGGATCATTGTTGCTGATGTTGGATTAGTTTTTATAGTTATCTAATCTTGATGTGTTTGATGTCTTTAGGACTATTATTGACGGAAACAAATTATGCGTTAATGTCTTTATACCACTGATCAAAGAATTACTGATGCGAACGTATGTCTAATGTGAGTGGTGCTCTTCTGTGAAAGTGATTTAGCATAGTTTGAAGCTTTGTTCTGTCTGCTTGGAACCAAAAAGGTGTCAACTGCTCTCATTTTACACAGAGTTAACGCCCTATGGGCTCAAAGCAAACGATTTATAATTTTTGTTATGGTCTAAATGACCTATTTACCACATGATGTGCAATTTATAATTACTTTAAGGTAGTTACTCTTGAAATGTAATTCCATTAGTATTTAACTTGAGATTACTGTATAATCAGAAAGTCTTGCATATTACATGTATTTTTACACATTTGCTGGTCCTTTCTACCGGTAAGAAAAAAGTGGGCGATTGCAACATTTCAATTTTGTCATTGCTGTAATTTAATTATTGGCCACATGAAACATTCACAAACTTTCAAAATTCATGACAGTTTCATACACGCAAAAATGTTTACTTTCACAGTTTGCTTTAACACTTACATGGCCAGTCCAGGACTGGAGTGTCCGATGAAGGTGCAATCCAGGGGCTTGGTGTTGAACTGGGAGATGATCAGCTGTAGCTTCATGATCGCTGTGCTGAAGTCCGATGGGGAATAGGTGGCGTTCAACTCCACTTGCCCGTTGCCCGGCACCGTCCCAGTCATCGGGGTGATGGTGATAGCCGGGTGGGGTTGGATGAATTTGAGCTGGTATTCAAAATCCATCGGGATATTGCACTTGATAGGGATTACCTTTCTTGATCTAGTAAAAAAAAAGCAAAAAACAAAAACGAAAAACATTCACGATTGGATGTGTATAAGGATAGCCTATTTCCATTGGTAATGATAGCAATTCTTAAAGTGATTTTTAACCCTAAAAAGGCCGGGCTATTTGAGGTCTTAGTACGGCTGGGGGGGGGGGGGGGGCATTATGGCCCCCCTTAAGATCTCGGTCATATTTATGGTAATTTATGCAAATGAAGTCATAAAAATCACATTCTTACCAATAAATCATATATTATTCATATTTAAGCATTCTTTTTCACTACATATATTCATTAGACCATTCTGAATAATAATACGACAAAAAAAAAATTGGAAGAGCCAGCTTATTCCTTATGTTATCCCTTGTTTTGATAATTTCTTATGTATTTCATTGTTTTTTAACCTATGTATTTCATTGTTTTTGTTGTTTTATTTCATTTCTTACTACAATTCAACTATTTTGACTCCCAAAACAACCACCTAAACTTTAAACAAGACCCAATAACCCATGTTTGATCTGTTTTTAGGAAAAATGACTTTTCCATATGTTTTGTACACAAATCATGAAAATGAGTGATTTTCGGGCTGACATGCAAAGACAAAAGGTCACGTGACCTTGTAACCGTAGGTCCGATTTAAAAAAAAAATATTTTAAAAGTTGCGCAAGACTCAAAAGAAAAAAGTCAGCGAGCGGCGGGGTGCCATCCATATGCGTTCCCGAGCAATCAGAAAAATTGTGGAGGGGGGGGGGGCCATAATGCCCCCCCCCGGCCTTATTAGGGTTAAGTTCAGTCATATACTTATGAACTTCCGAGACCATTTGGACTCGAATGAAGTTGATTATAAAATTGATACAGTTTGGTATAACATAAACCTAAGTCATGCAGACTCCATAAACTACCTCAAAAACTGCCATGGCAAATTAAAACCTTTTATGTATAGATGAAATAAAGTGGACGTGAAAAAATAAGGAACTTCATACAAAAAAAAAATTTCAGCTTAGAGATAAGTTCAACTTTGGATCTTTATGAATCACCCCCCTGATATCTTGATAAATAAGAATGAATTCTAACTTACCTTTGGGAGACAGGTGTGGGAGGAAACTTGACAATTTCTGGAAAGTCTGTTGACATGACAGGATACGCGTGAACTGGAATCACAAGATTCTCTGTACTCTACAATACAAAGAGAAAGGGAATGGAGTTTAATTACCACATTGAACAAATCATGTCTCCTCTCCAACTGGCAAAGAATTATTTTCTCAATTATTCTTTCAATCTTGCCTTCTTTTAACAAAAGCATGTATATTATGTCCATGTAACCCATAAGTGTATCAATTAATATTTCACACTTGCAGCCCTTTTAAAGCCACTTTTAAAGCCACATTGCAAATAGGAAAAAACACAAACTTGTAGTGAGCACATCATTTTATTTTTTCTCATAAACTAACCTGTTATAGCTATTATAAATATTCATGATTAAAATACGGTTACAAGTGTAAATCCACAAGTTTTTAGTTCGTGAAAACTTACATATTAATCACTAAAAAAATAAATAATCCAGGGAAACCAATTGTGCTTTAATACCTGGCAATGTATCCTGATACAGTCGTAGAAGTACCTCCATTCGTCGGGTCTGAACTCTACCGTGACCTCCATGGACAGCCCCGGCACCAGGCGATCCCTCTTCTTGTACCACGCCTTGAAGTAGCGCGTGGCTGGGGGGATGATGTGCATCTGTTGACATTCTGCCGATGCGTTAATAATGTTCTGCAATTCAGGAAAAATAAAAGTAGGCATTATTACGCATCTCAAAGTGAACCACTACATTTTGTGCTTGGGATACACGATATAATGCAGATAATTCAATTATTTTCTTGGTGCACAGATGACCCTGATGTAAATTCTAACTTCACATAGCCCTTGGTCATTCAAAACGGGTCATGGATGCACCCTAATATTGAAATGAGGATGTAAAAATAAAAGCAAGCCGATACCCACCAGAACTTGTCGATGAACCTTCCCTGGTTCAAAGCCAGGAAAGTGGACCACAGCTGGTTCCACTTGGAGCACTTCATTGTGGGATAATTTATGGTATATTTCTAGATAAAAACAAGATAAAAAAGGAAGATTAATCAGAAAGATAAATATGGGTACTACCAAAATTATAAATGTTCTACAGGTAAAAATGTCTTTGATACACGTGCATGAACATTTATTCAAAAATAGATAAAACTCAGTGTTCCTTTCAATAAATAACGTAAAACATGAGATGTATTCATCTGTTTACCACTTTATAATATGAAATCAAACCGTTTGAATAAATATCTGAGCTTGGTTATTTTTACGGAATCATTTTTGTTTTCAATAGAAAATCTATAGTCACCTCATGATATGACGATATTTCTAAAAAAGATTTGAACACAAATTAAACTTCAATTCAATTTTAAAGTGGGGGAGAAAGAAGAAATCTGGTCCTGACTACAGGTACGGTAGTTATACATGTAATGTAGATTGTATTTTTGTTTTTCTTTCTTACTTGTGTCTAAGAGATGGTTAGGTACTGTTTTCTTCTTCTCGGGTGCAACCAGCGACTCATGTAGAACAATTGAGGCGCCATTGAGACGGGATTGACTCGACCTCAGAGGAGAGAGCGGATCTGTATTCAGCTGACTCAATGGCCGCTCCACAGCCATGGTCGCACTTACTCCAGGAGGACCCTAGGAAAAGGAAGTGAAATATTTAGGCTGTTTTGGGCCAGTGATCTTGCTGCTATGAATATTGATATCCGATTAAGTAGAGTAACTGTTGTTGTTTGCAGACCTGACTCAAATTACTTATTACTAGGACTTGGTCACTTAGAATTGGGCCTGCACAGTCTTTACTTTATTTTAGGACATGGAGTGGAGTGGACTTTAAAAGATTATTATTATTATTATTATTATTATGCCAACACAATTGTTCACATTTACTGCATAAACAAAATTAAAAATTAAAAATCAAAACTATAATTGGATGAAATTACAAAGTATATGATAACGCCATTACGAACGTGTAGATGGCGCACAGTTTTTCCTTCATAATCATTTTGCCTTCGGCGTAGACTAGAAGGGATGAGATTGATTTAGATGACTCCGGCAGCGAGAGTTTAACACGGCTTGCAAGATTTGGATCAACATGGATGTCGTTTTTGACCCATAATTTCCTTAAAAGGGACCATTAAACGGATTATTTCAATCAAGTTAGTAAGTGGAACCGATGTATTATAGCCTAGGCCTAGAGTAAAGTAGCCCGTTTTCGGCCACTTAAGACAAAATCCTATTTTTAGGACTCTTTACTTCCTATTTATTATCATTTCTTGTTCAAATCATGAAGCAAATATTATTATTATTTACACAAAAAAAGAATCCCAGAAAAAAATCACGAATTGCCATGACAATATCCATTTCAATTTTCACTGTTTTGGAGCCCGTTATCGGCCGAGCGTTTCAGTTTACGGCCGCATGTACAAAGTCAATAGGAAGCGCTCGCGCGCGCCGTGCGTTTCCGCGCTGATGTACAGCACAAGCGGGCGGAGCAGGTATCCCACGCCGGAGCTCCCTGGTGCTCGCCTGGCCGAAGACGGGCACAGCGGTGATCGGAAGTTGGAATCTGAATTAGATAGAGATATCGTGTGTGCGTCGCGGTGTGCGGCTGCATTGATTTAATACATGCGATGACATACTTTTGAGCTTGCGACTAGCACAAAATCGGGCTTTAAATCTGAAAAATACTTGAAATAAAGCTCATTTTATGGTACCCATATTTCTTACAGACACGCGTAAGATACTCGATTTTTCAGATTTGGGTAGCGGGACCGGCGATTACATCGCTAAAATGTGATATTTTAGGATATATTTTCCATTGCAAATGTGGTTCTTCAGTGACACTGGCATGGTATGGTATGTGTGGGATATGTGTTATGCTATTATGCGATGTATTTTAGAGTGATTTTACCTTGTATCCAACCAATCGGCCGAAAACGGGAGCTGGCCGATTACGGGCTCCTTTACTCTAATTTACATTTGGATATACACGAGGTAAAATGACATTTTGGGGGATTTTGGGGGCAAAACGCTACGACCTGAAATGGCCGTGGCGTTATCAAGGGAATGTGTATAGGCCCTAGACGGTTTCCGTCTCTAAAGAGAGAGCCGGGCGACCCTACCCCAATAAGAGGCTAACGAACGAAAGAGACGGAAAATTCGGTCTAGAATTGACATAAACTAGTCAAGACTGTGGATCTTCTCACGACGCAATAGTCTAGTTAGATTTCATACTTTGTTTTGAAAGATGCAAGCAAACGCACTAGACTAAATAGTACTAAAGAATCGTCTGCATAAACGAGGATCGTCTTCATTGACACGGACAGACGCTTCTTCAAAAATAGAGATTGTCCGCATTTTTGCAGACGTTTCAAATTTTAGAGCCGCGTGTTGGCGATGCGAAAAACAGATTCCGTGATGATTTTCTTGATGCATTTCACATTGACTTTGTAGTTTTTGTACAAACTACAGAGTAACAGAGACTTTCACATTATGTATGAGCGATAAATCCTTGAAAGACGGCCAACCCTTCAAAGGAGATGGTGAACTGGGTTTTTCGGTCCGCGAAAATGTGGACGATCCTTATTTTTTAGGGACCCAATTTCTTGTCCCCGTTTACGAGGATATCCTTGTTTATGCGAACACTCCTCATTGTTAGACCAGCGCCCCTACTACTAAATACAGTTAGCGACGAGTCGACGCCGACGTGGGCGCGGGCCGGTCTTAAAAATCAGATAATCTTTGAAATGAAGAGTTCCAGAGTTAAACTTACATAATCCTTAACGTATGGGACTACACAATAGGAAAGAAGGTGAATTGAGGAGCAACAATCAAACATATTTTGCGATCTCCAAACGTCAGATCAATTACCATATTCATTGAATTATGATTGCAGAATATCTATGCAACTCATTTAGGAACATAATAGCATATAAATGAAAGATTATCGCATATTTACCTGACGTTTTGTTAAAAATTTCCAATAATTTTTTCCTGGATAATCGGAGTATGTACACACTTCACGCACAAATCTACATACGCCAAATACAAGTAGTGCCAGAAATACTGAAGATAACATTAATTAATTAAAATAAATAGGAAAATCAGGAATCAATATATGGAACTGTTATATTTAAAAATAATAATTGACGCATTTTTTTGAGGAAATAAATTGGGTTCATGTTTAGCGTATCATTAATTGCAGTCCATTCCGGTGATGCGGTCGTCCAGTTCCCATAACAACACTTAGCGGAGTAAAGATATTTTGTCAGCATAGTTCACAGGATCAGCAGTCATACAGTTACAGTTACAGGAAATTCTTGTAATATTTTATAAGAAAAATTAGATTATATTAAATATTTAAAAAGAAAATGTATAATTACAATAACAAATATGAATTTAAATGAAACAATAAATTATTAATGAAATACAAATTCGATTTTGAATTTCTAAATCAACAACTTATTAATTTCAATACTGTAGACAAGGCAATTCATAATGTCGTCTGCTGTGCCTGATTGGACTTGTAAATGCTTTAATTTCAATTTGTATTAAATATTGATCTACTTTCCCTACATTACAGTCCTATTTTGTTCGAAATATATTTCTATACTCAAATATTTATTCAACTTGGAATGAAATTTAATCAATACCATCATTTAACCATCAAATTCACACAATATGCAACCCCTTCAGCTCAGAATACATGCGCTCAGTCCATGGAGCATGTGTCACAAACGATAATCCAGGCCGACGAGCGTGGCGGCCGACGCCTCGCCTGGCCGTCTGATATCTGTACATAGGGAGCTATCCTGTTACCGCGCGCGCAGCAACGTTGCACCACCATTCCCCGTCTATATAGGCTACTCTATCTAGAGTCTATGTCCGATTGCAATTTCCTCTCGTGCTAAATAGTAGATCTGCGGAATTTTTCAGCATTAAGGATAACATTTGGAAGTCATTGCAAAGATAAACTCAACGCTCAGCCTTGGGCACCTCGGCTCGGTCTGTCTGTGATTGACGAGAGGCTCGCTGAGCTGAGTGGATCTGAGACTTCAGCCTTCCCTGAACCTCCCCGCCTCGTCGGCCTGAGACTAGTGTGAGAGATATAGATCCTAGTCCTGGCATCAGTCTTCAAACATGAAAGGGAAGAGAATTCATCGTGGAACTGCAGTTCAAAACGATATTGCGGTGAGGAGGCATTTTATTTTACTTTGTAAATAGGAGCTATACAATACACTCCTAAATTAAAGAATTGAATTGATTCATGATCAACTTTAAAAGACATTGATTTATGATTGAGTCAAGTTCAAATTCAATGTAAGAATATAGATCTAGTCTATTATAATACATAAAGTCTAGACCTAGACTCTAGATCTAATAAGATTAAAATAATTTAAAATGAAAACAAAATAATAGTAATTACTCAACAGAAGCTTGGAATAGATATTTGTCCTTCAGAAGTTCAGAATTATGAAGACATTCAAGACAATCCAACCAATTAATAAACAACTAGACCTACTTTAAATCTAATTTCTAAAAAGCGAAATATAAGAATTAGCAAACTGGTGAAACTTTGAATGCAATCACAAAAAATAAGATTAAGAAAGTCATTAATTTTTGAAAGTTGCACTAGATCAATATCATGTACCTATGCCTATGGGCTTTTCAAATTGGCTGAATCAGTGATGTGAGTATGACATGCGTACATTTAGTGTGGGAAAATTTCCCATTTGTATCAGCACACAAAATTAATAAATTGCCATTCTTTCATAATGTCTGATTAGGAGGGTCTTTTCTTTTTAGATCCTGTCATCATGAAAATGAGTCTGTCGATCACTCTGTTCACATGCTTTACAGGTACAGGGGACCAACGACAGCAGCATCGTGAGCAAATGTTCTGTAGCTATGATGGGATACTTCCAAGACGCGTACCTTCGTCATTTTGTGTCTAAGACTTCTAGGAGATCCCCTCTGATCAACAGAGGTTACTTCGTCAGGGCTAGAGCCATTGATGATATCCTGAAGGCATTCCTCAAGAAGTTTGGAGATTCTAAGAACCAGGTCAGTGAGCTAGCTGATGACACTCTTTTGGTCCTGTAGTACTGTACAGAGTTTGACTCTTCTGTTTAGTTTAAGTGTAGAAAACAAAGGAAATATTTCATTTTCATTCTCATTGGGTTTCTCTTATGTTTGCCCTTACTGCAAATAAAACCCTAGACAGAAATAATCATCTGGTATGGGTTATTCTTTAATAAAAACTGACATTTGTTATAGAAGCGTTCAGAGGAGCCAGATGTAATCTCAGCAGAACAACTGTTGATATAAGAGACTAAAGCTTTTGGTCTAATAACCCCTCCTCTCTCTCTCTCTACTGGAAACTACATGCTTTCCTTATAAATGTTTTACAGATAATATCACTGGGTGCTGGGTTTGACTCCACCTACTTCAGACTGCAGGCCAGTGGCTCGTTGGACCACACTGCTTTCTATGAAGTTGATTTCCCTCAGCTGGTAAAGAGAAAGGCTGCATTGATCAGGAAAAAGACCGAGCTCAGCGATCTACTCCTGAATCCAGTCTATCACGATGAAGCACACGAAGATTCATTTGGTGAGAAAGGTTAACATTCTTTATTTGATAATGCAATAAAGGGTTTGAGTTTATTTCAAGAGTGGGCTCAGTGATCTACTTCTGATTCCAGTCTTTCATGATGACTCACACCAGGATTCATTTGGTGAGAAAAGTTAACATTCTTGGTTTAACAATGATGGTTTAGAGATGAGAGCCATACTTGGCTACATCGCCCAAAGATACCTGTGCCCCGTCTTATAAAGATTTGAGATTGAACCAAATTAATCGCATCTCTTTGGTACAGGACCCTGCACTAAAAAAACATGTACACCACAGGAAGGTTGAACTAAATTATTGTATGTAGACACAAACCTGATCCACTAAATCATTATTTTTTGCTTATTTGGTGAATCACCTCAGAAAGTTTTACATTTATTCTGTTATAAATCAACAGTGGGTTTAAAAATTAAGACAATACAAGTCACTCTGTTTCTTATGGTGATATTAAATGTCTCCTATCTTCAACGGATTAGCAATCATTCCATGCAGAACCATATTGCCCTTTCTTGCATTTAATCATGCCTTATGAATACTACTTATTATACATCTGCTTCTCCTGTTTGTAATTTAGGTGTTTGTATATCATCAGAGAAGTACCATCTTGTTGGAGTGGACCTCAAGCAACTGGATGCCTTGCAGAGTGTCTTCAAAGACATTGGCGTTGACTTAGTAGTGCCCACCTTGCTCCTCTCCGAATGTGTTATTACATACATCGATACTGACAGGTACGTTTGTCAAGTCAGTCTCCAATAGGCCTATTAGTCAGAAACCAAGATACCACAGGTTGTTAGAATTTGCAAAAACTTATGTGACATGTCCAAAGTTGCTTTTTGAATCCAGTGCTTGATTTTTCAAGAAAAGTGTAATTGTTTAGTTCCTTTATTTGGAGGGAAGATCTTGATCAATATTTTCTTCTGTATATATGCCAATTGACAACTACTGATGAGGCTACCCTGGGTAAACAAGACATATTATTATTATAAAACTAAAATTGCTTTTGGAATCCAATGCTTGATTATTCCACAAAAATGTAAGTTAGTTCCTTTCTTTTGAGGGGAGATCTTGAACAGTATTTTCTTCTGTATGCCTTTGGACAACTTCTGATGAGGCTACCCTGTGTTTACAAACAAGACACATTATTTTTATTTGACTAAAATTGCTTTTGGAATTGAATGCCTAATTATTCCACAAAAATGTAAGTGTCTAGTTCTTTTCTTTGGAGGGGTGATCTTGAACAGTATTTTCTTATGCATAAATGCCATTTGACAACTAATTATTTTGGCTTGCAAAGGGGATGCAGTACCTTTCTACCAAACTTTCTTGTGCTCAGGGTGAAATGGTTAATAGATAAAATTGAATTTGGATGTTACTTCTTTGTCAGTATTGTACTTTATTTAGGCCCCAAAGTCTAAATTTGTTTATCAGACATAAAAATGTATTTATGCCATTTATGATATAATAATAATATATTCATTTGTAAAGCGCAATAAAAATGTGAAATTTTGTGAATTTTAAATGCTTAATGTGTATCTGTGTGCTTTTGTGACAGACTTGTTTAATTTTGCTTGAAATCACCAATTCTCCTTTCTTGATAAATCTTTTTGTGCAGTTCGGATGCTCTAATAAATTGGGCTGCAAAGACCTTTCCAAATGGTCAGTTTGTTTCATATGAACAAGTAAGTTGATTCGACTTCATGTTTTTTTATACTGATATACAGATTCATTATTTTGAGAAGTCTTTTTTTAATCTCTGTGACAAATGATGCTTTTCCTTCCACAAACTTGTCTGCACGTTCAATACATTTCATCCCACCCTCAATTCAAGGGCTTCAGTTTAATTGAAAAAAGTTGTAATAACAGAAAATACTCGTCCTAGTAAAGAAAATGTGAAGCAGAAATTGGAAGGTAAATGAGGGAGGGAGGAGTAGGAAAAGTATACAAGAAAACTGTGGGATTGTTCCCCAGGAGTGAAGAATATTTGCACATTGTATGCAAAAAAACCTTAATCTGGTGATTGATGTAGCAATATTTTTGTAAAGTGCTTAGAAACATTGATGGATGTATAAGGTAAGTGTTAAATAGATCCAGATTACTGCTATCTTTTACAACCACTTTGAAATTCTTTATTTTCTTGTTCTCTGTCATTTTGTAGGTTCTTCCAGATGATGCCTTTGGAATTGTTATGTAAGTTTGAATTTTAATTCTTAGTACATACAACAATTCACTGAGTCACTGACATTATAATAGCTTAGCGAAATGTAGTGGTATGAAATAAGAAGGATCTGGAATGCAAAATGCATAACTATTGAAAATCATTATTTTATCACACAGAGGGAGAATCACATGGTTAGAATACAGAGCTTGTAAATGCATACACAATCTTGATGAGGCTAAAAGTTAGCAAAAATTTAATTTAGAGATGTAAAAAAAAGAACCTTTGATCAACAAAAGTCACTGAATATTATGCCTTTTGAGCTACCTTAGTGAAGTACACTGTATGAGCAATCATATGATTTGGATTGAGTTATAACCACTAAATGAAAAGTGTTTAGCCTTTGCAGAAATTCATTGAAACCTACAAATTCATACACAAATAGAGATTGATGCATAACATTTCAACATTTTTCTGATCATGATATGACTTATTGAAACTTATTCAACTATAATTGTTACATGTTTATTTTTGTAATTTAATTTGCAGGCAGAAACATTTCAAGAAGCTCAACTCACCGCTAAATGCTATCCAGAAATACTCCAGCAAGCAGAAGCATTGTGCCAGGTTTATAGAACAGGTACAATCTCAATTGTATATTGTGCTGTAGAACATTCTATGTAATATGTAAAATGGAAGGGGGAGCATTATGTTTGGGTTGTCCGCCCCGCTTTCTTGTTAACGCGAGATCTCAAGAACCACTTGAGATATGAACTTCCAAATTGATGATAGTATGTATCACTATAGGAAGACAATTGGATTAGATTTTGGAATAACTAGGTTAAAGGTCACGTTGAGGTTAAGGGATGGGATGGATGTTCGGGTATTTTAAAGGTCATTTGCTAAAGTATGAATGATACAGTGATCTGTCATTTGCATTGGCGACAATTTCTCTGGGATAGGGTAAGTATTGCAATTGGGTTTTCAATTAGGTATAGTGTTGGGTCAAAGGTTGAAGTGAAAATTCCTATTAGTGTAGGAAATTACTGCGAAGTGATTGTTGCAGGAGCATTTGTTGTACTACAAAATTGTGCTGGTTAGATGATAATAATGAAATTATCAAATCTTTCATTTATCTTTCATAAAGGGTTGGCTGTCATCTGGTGCAGTTAACATGCATGAGTACTACACACAAGTGATCTCTGAGGTAGAGAGAAGAAGAGTGGAAGGTATTGAGCTGTTTGATGAGTTTGAGGTGAGATTCATATTACTTAAGAATGAAGTTAATAAGATTTATGTTGGTCAACATTGTACCTGTTAACTCAGGAAATAATGTGATATTCATGGACTTTAGTTACAGTATAAATAAATAAATTTTTTAAACTACACAGAAAAGTAGTTTCAAAGAGTACTGATGCTATACAGTGAAAACTCGGTATAAAGAACTCTTATATAACGGGGTATCTGTTATAACAAGGTGATTTTGCTGGTCCCAACTCTACATGTATATATTCTTCTGTTTTTTTTACCCTCATATAAAAAGATTTCCATGGTCCCAACTCCCTAGGAGCTTGTAATTTTAGAGGTTCCACTGTGGTATATCTGTGAGTTATTAACGTTTGAATACACTCTCTGACACAGGATATGTAATCTCTTCAATACTTCCTTTTTTTGTCTTACTCTTTATCAAACTAAATAGGCCTACATGAATTTTTCTGAGTATAATAAGAGAAAGTCTAGGATGAGACATAATTGAGAATGGATCGAAGGTGTTAAAGATCTCCTGTATTTTTTTTTAGGAAGTAGTGTAATTGTATTGGTTAAAAAGATAAAAAAGTATATAATTTTTTCAAACTTCAGATTTTTCATTTTCATGATATTTGACGACATCTCAAATATATTCACTAAATCTTAATAGTTGCTGCATTCAATGATACTGAATATGTGCTAATATATTTCTACAAATTGCTAGATTGACATTTAGTGATAAAAGATAAGATCTACAATATTTGTAAATGATTTCATTAATATTTATTGAAATCTTATCGTCTTGATGTTTGACAGGAATGGCATCTGAAATGTGTTCACTATATCCTAGTTGCTGCATTCAATGATACTGCATATGTGCTATATTTATATGAATTGCTAAATTGACTTTCAGGGGAAAAAAGATAAGATCTATATAACTCTGTAAATTTATGGAATTCCCATTGTCTCCATTTTTGTCTCGCCTGCGTAGCAAAAAAGCGAGACATAGGCGCCGCTTTTCCGGTGACGGCGGCGGCGGCGGCGGCGGCGTCAACATCAAAAACTTAACCTAAGGTTAAGTTTTTGAATTTTTGATATAATTTTGAAAGTATAAGTTCTTAGTCAATGAAACTTGGAATATAGGGTTATCAAGTATCCCCAATCATGTGAGTAGAATTTCAGGTCACAAAGTCAAGGTCAAAGGTCATTTCAGGTCAACAGACTTGGACTATGTTGTGGCATCATCATCGAAAACATAACCTAAGGTTGAGTTTTTGAATTTTTGATATAATTTTGAAAGTTTAAGTTCTTAGTCAATGAAATTTGGACTATAGGGTTATCAAGTATCCCCAATCATGTGAGTAGTATTTCAGGTCACTAAGTTAAGGTCAAAGGTCATTTTAGGTCAACAAACTTAGACTTTGTTGTGGCATCAACATCAAGATTTTTGAATTTTTTAGCATATTTTCAAAATTGCCATGAAACTTGTACCCAAGGGTTATCAAGTATCACAAATCATATGACACAAATTCCAGGTCACAAGGTCAAAGGTCAGTAGACTTGGATTATGTTTTCACAACTTAATATGAGAATTAATAATTTTTTTTATTAATTTGTTCATATATTTCATTCAAGTTATTGATCGTGGTACATTTAATAGTAAATAATTCTTCTGATGATTCTTAGGCAATATTCACTTCAAAATGTGATTATATTTAGAGGATTTCATTTTGGGGGGCCTGCTAATGGGCCACCCTGCCTATGCATAATGTTCCAACCTCAGTTTGTCATCATATCGAATTGCAAAATGCAGGCGAGACCGCCGAGAGCGTTTCCCTTGTTTTTTTTTACAGGAATTGCATCTGAAATGTGTTCACTATATCCTAATTGCTGCATTCAATGATACTGTATAATTATGTGTTACGTATTTCTACAAATTGCTAGATTGACATTCAGTGAAAAAACAAGACAAGATCTATATATTTGTGCGATATATGAATGGCTAAATTGACATTCAGTGAGAAAAGAAGTAAGATCTATACAGGATGTATCTGTAAATAATTTCCTTCATATTTATGCACTTCTCATTGTCTTGATTTATTTTGACAGGAATTACATCTGATATGTGTTCACTATATCCTAGTTGCTGCATTCAACGGTAGATGTGCTGAATTCAAGGCAAGCCTCTTTCCTGGTAAGTTAGCATTTGAAGGTCCTATTCCTATCACATGGTTTGAGATCATACATTAGCTAATTCACAATCCATATTTAAAGATAAACTTGAGTTCTTGGAAATATAGAAAATAAATTCTCACAGAATCCAACAAAACTTACACTGAATGTTCAAGATTACAAATAAATGACATGTATCAAATAAGTTTGGTAGAAAATGTATAGCGATTGCATAATGAGCATAGAAAAATAAGGAAATCAGCGTAAGTAGGCCCAACACCATGTGCTTAACACACGCAGGTCACTTTGTGCAAATGAGAGTTGTGATTTTATCAAAGTAAGTTTTTGTGGGTTTCTTGTTATTTCACTGCTTGGAACACCAATCTACTACAGGGTAAACATTAAGTCCAGAATAAATCATAGCACTTTTCTCTCCAAGTACGATTCCCATAACTGAGGAACTGTATATTTTGTCCGCTTTCTTTGTCCGTCATGTTCATAGTGAGAAGAGAGAGCTTACATGTATATGTCTGTGTGTGTTTGTAAGCATGTCCCCTTACATATCTGATCATCTGACATGTTTGCATTTATTTGCAGAGTATGTATTTTTAAAAACATGATAGTTAATCATGAAGGGTGTATGTACTTCAGTGTGTGTTAATTTCCAGCGACATGTATTTCAATTCCAGATCTACCATTGACACCTTCCAAGTCTGAAGATAATCCTGGATCAGACCTTGTTCCATCTCCTGCCGTGAAACCCCTCCCCCTCCAGTCCACAGCAGGCTCAGCTACCTGGATGAGGCTGTTTTCACATGCTAGTGTACTGGTTCCAAACACAAACAGTGTCCTTATCACGGGTGGATTTGGAGATTCAGAGGGTTGTCATGGGAGGATGGAAAAGGTACAGATGGTAAATCTCGATCTTGGTAACATCGTAGAGCTGGATGCTGCAGAGGGGTCTGATAAGTTAGGTGAGAATTTTTTGCTAATCATTTGATCAATTCATTATACAGTCAAACCTGCTTTAGTGACCACCTGTCTACAACAAGCACATTTTTTGTTTCCCTTGAAAATGGTTTCTCATTGAAACATGTACTAAAGGAACCTGTCTACCAAGACCACTTATTGTGTTTCCCTTGGGCGGTCGCTGTAGACAGGTTTGACTGTATTACATTAAAGCTACCGGTACATTTATTTATATTTAAATATATCCCAACCAAGAGAATGCTCGAGGTCCTGCCATTAGGGGATGCCTTTTTAACAGCACCCCACTACCAGTGCTCCCTAGCATCCCTAGCAACAGGATGTGTTCTCCGCTCCCTGGTCCATCCCTCCTAACGGCAAAATTACCACAAGGTGACAACACGTTTATACCTCTGTTGACTGGAATTACTTACAGTGTAATGGGAGATTTTCCAAGGGGTTATTCTCCTGGGGATAAATAAAAGTTCACCACATGTTCTCTTAGAATGAAAAGGAGTTCGAGGAATTTCTCTCTACCAGGTACCCATTTAGATCAAATGGGTGGAGAGTGGCAAATGGAGATTAATATTAATGTCTTGCCAAAGGACATCAGTGCCATAGTGGGACTCGAACCACAAACCATACATGTATGTTATCCATAGTGATGATGTATCCACCAGGCCATGACAGCTCTACAAATGATTAGGCCTACAAATGATGTATCTAATCCAAAAAGGATTGTTTATTTTATCAGGTCCCAGGCTCCACCACTCCATGACTGTCCTGTCTTCCGGTAGATTCTTCATCTTCGGTGGCCGTACCTCCCCTGCCAAACCATGCATGTCCTCGCACATCCTCACTCTCCTGGATTCCAACCACCGACCGTCATCATACCGTCTACACAGTGCATGCATGCATGAAGGAGATGATGTGCTGTCACCCAGGTGGAGACATACAGCCACAGCAGTGACTGTGGAGGACAGGGAGGCTATCCTGGTGTCCGGAGGGAGGGGTGTAGAGGGCCGCCCCCTAGGGGATAGCTGGCTGTTGGATGTCGAGAAGATGTCATGGCAAAAGGCAAGCATTTCATGATACGCACAAAACAGAGCCTTATGTTCAGTATGTTGAAAACAGATAATGAAAGTGATCTCTTTTAAAAATTTATGCTGATTGCTTCAGGCTTTTGCAGACTGATGTCTTCCTACCTATATTGGTGAATTAAATGTGCAATTTTTGTATTTCTGAATAATCCACCTACCAGTATTCTCTTTTCATTTGTTTTTTTACACCTTGAAAATATGATAACATGATGGCATCAAAATTATTTAACAGGAACTTGGTCGTTTCCATATTACGGTTATTTGAATAATCAATTTTTTTAGTCTTGCAGGCTCAGGAATATTGTAATTTGCTGAACTTTTGTAAAGTGTGCTTTATTCCTCCTCCAAATGAGTTTTTGAATGTTTTAGGATGAAGTAAATGAAAATTATGCCATAGAATGAATGAAATACCATTATTTTTTTTGTATAAGTAAAAGATTACTGTAATGTGGCTTGTGCTTGTCAAACAGCTTAATTTTGAAGGACCGGTAATGGAGGCGAGACATTCCCACTCTGCCACGCCCTGGGGGGACACCTCCATTGTGATAGCTGGTGGTATAGGGGGCGATACCACACCCCTCAACTCAATAGCAATCCTGAACATGCAATCCAAGTCAAGCACCCTCATAGAAACCATACCGCCATTCAAACCAAGGTTAGTAATGACCACTGCATAGATTGCAACCTGAATTAAAGAATGGACTGGAAAATAATTGCAATAGGATTTATAGGGATGAACCTTGAAAATGTAAATTATATCTGACATTAGTCTTGACCAATATTCAAGTATGAAAATTAAAAGTGTGTGATATTTGAAGATTGTTTCAGACAAAGAGCCATAATCAATCAGATACCATTTAGGGCCCAGTCATATGGATCGTATGCCATACATAATGACAATTTGTATCTGATCAGGTCCTTTTCTGACTGAATAGCTTGATCATGCTCTGTACTACAGTTTGAGGTTGTTATTCATATGACAGTTGGGAATGAACGCATGTATACACGCGTATGTTATGAAATTCTGAATTTTAGACTAAAGTAGGAACAAAGTTATTGCTCTGACTCTCTATTTTATTGATATTTCAGGAGGATGATCAAATTCAAGAGCTCAGTACACCATCATGTCCTATTTGAAATTTAACCTGAAAACTATAATAAAACTCTTTAAATCAATGTTTTTTTTCTTACAGGTATTCTCATACAGCTCACATAGTTGAAGACCAGCTCTTGCTTCTGGGTGGGATCCAACCAGCCAGCGATACCCCGCCCTCACTCACCCTCATCCATCTTGCGACGTGTGCTCTTCAGGAAATCAATTTAAAGGTACCGGTAAATACATTATTCATTGAGATTTGAACCTTGTTTGTAATCAAATGGTAAACTGCCTGAAAATACACCTTGTAGCAGACGATCGTTAGACATGTAAATGTATTGGAAGTAAGGGTGAAAAGGGTAGCTGCTCGCAATGAAGGCCCCAACATTATAGAAATTTAAACAAGGATGCCAGTTTTCAGGCGGCATTGAAAAGTATGAATTCAGGCCCTGGCAAGTTATTTTAAGACCATAGTTTAGGCTTTTTGTGTACAAAATAGCTCATTCTAGGTGATTTTCAGGACCTTGATCAATTCTAACTGGCATCCCTGTTTAAAACATTTGATGCTCCTGACATTTCATTCTGTACTTCTCATCTTTTTTTTATGCCTCTGCTACAAAGGGCTCATTGTGTATGCAAAAATAACTTGTGATCGTGTTATCTTGGATTACCACCAAACTTGAATCGTATCTTGCAGAGCAAATGAACTGATTAGATTTTGGGGTCCTGAGGTCAAAGTTCAAAGGTCATGGGGCTCATTATTTATGCAAAACTATCTTGTGAATGCATTGTCAATACTGACGGATGGGTTACTATCAAACTCAGAACATATATGTACTTTGCAGAGCCAATGAACTGATTAGATTTTAGAGTCGTAAGTTCAAAGTTCAAAGGGTCATACATGTATATGAAAAATAGCTTGTAATCACCATATTCTGAGGACCTGTCCATTGATAAAATTAAACAAAAATCCTTTATTTACCGATGTGTTTACCATCTCAATGTAGGCATCGTCTCCAGAAATCCCACTGATGCTTCACAACCACACCAGCCATTGGCTACCTGACAAAGAGGGCGTCCTAGTGATCGGAGGGGGAGGAAACTGCTTTTCGTTTGGCACCCATCTTAATGAAACACCAGTCGTCGTAGAGGGCGCACTTCAGAATGTGTCCAGATAGTATTTCAAGAACACTGGGAATACACCAGTTTACGGTTATTGGCGCCATTTTAATTTACGAGTAAACAAACCATTGACCTCTAGAGGTCAGTGGTTTATATGATGTGATGCAAATATGATGTGAGCGCACAACGCAGGCAGTGTCATCGATGTTTTCAGATGCGCATGTATTGTTGCGTCACTGCCTGCGCTGTGCGCTCACATCATCCTTGTATGGGCGCTATTTTACGCGTAAACCACTGACCTCTAGAGGTCAATGGTTTGTTTACTCGTAAATTAAAATGGCGCCCATGTCTGCGCATGCGCACTGTTGTAACCGTAAACTGGTGTATTGGATATTACACAAAGTGTAATTGGATGGTCGTAGAGGGCACTGTCTAGTTGTGTTTAGATAGCATTAAGCGTTTATAGGAGCTGGCTCATTTTTTAGGACAATGAAGCTTGAAATGACAACTGAAGCAGTCTGGAAGATAGATGTACATTTAGTCTCAAAGTGCAATGGAGTTTTTGATATGTTGTAGGTGACAAAGTCGTTGTTTCAATGTTTTTTATTGATTTGTGGAGAATTGTACGAACACCAAATCAGCCAATTGAAGGTCTTGTATACATTCCCTTCAAAATACGAACTTGCCATCGAGAATGTGAAAATATGTGCTTTGAGCGAACATGTTGTCTATTTGAAATTTAATATGTACTCAACCTTTTGAATAATGCATGTATTTTACAGAGAGAATTGATGAAATTATATTATCTTTGTTGGACCTCTATATTTGATGAATACAAGTGAATACTGTGTTAACAAAGATGAGATTGCATTTTTATCAATAAATCATTCTTTTTCTACAAAAATTTGAAGCAGATGTATATATCGTCTTGAATATTGAGTCTAGGTTCGATTTAATTCTGTCAATTCTTGTCATTACCGAAGTTCAAAGTCCACTATAACACAAAATATTCTTGACTGAAAAATCCTTGGAAATTCTGCATTTCTTCAAAGATGCTTCGGTTTCAGAGTAAAGTTTTTGAAGGTTGTGATCCGCCATCAAGGGTTTACAAAAAAAACGTAAGAAAAAGAAAAGAGAGAACTCTTTGACTTTGACCCTTCAACTTTTATCACCACTGTGCAATACATATCTTCTCAATACACTTCACACAAGAAATCAAGAGACAAAAGTTTCTGTTGTTGAAATATTCCAATTTAATGGAAAGCATGCCATATATACAATATACATGCACATGTACAATAGCAAATTGCAAGTGACAATTGAGACAAAGTATTTCAAGACACTTTTGTAGAAACAAAATTAAAAATCCAGAACATTATGTCTACAATTTCAATTCAGACAAATATAGACAACAAAATCACAGAGAAATACAAATACATTGAATTAAGCTCAAATTGTTGATTTTCTTCTTCTGTCATTAGCATATGTACTGCCATGGTTCATTAGAAGGAAGCAAACTTTTTGATACGTTTCTATGTATGGATATCAGGGACCCGTTTCACAAAGCCTTTTTTCAATGACAAATGAGAAAATCAGTGACAAATCTGCTGATAACCAATCAGAAGCAAGGATTTCGGTAGCTTATAACAAAAACTATTATTTGTCACTGATGACAAGTTTTGTGAAACGCCCCTCTGGACTTGTACCCCATTCACACTGCCAAACTGACCGATTTCTAGCCGTTGCGGGAAATGTAATGATAATTTTTGGTCTGTTTTTTTTCAGTTTGGTGTCAAGCCTCGGTGGTGTAATTGAGGTATTATGGTCATACAATAATCCTAGAAGTTGCGTTTAATCAATGCCACGCGATTATTTTGATCCAATTAGGCCTTTCCCTGTGGGGACCAGAAGTTGCTGTATTAAGCCTATGACAATGGAATATACCAGTAGCTAGAGAGCATGTGTATGGTTTTAAATAAGCTACCAGGGGACCGATGACTTTAGGTCCTATCCTAGGGACTTGGTAATGAGGATCAATGCCTTACCAAAGGGCAACAGTGCATCAACTTCGTTTGGAACCCAGGATCTCCAGGTTATGAGGCAACTGCTCTACCACTGAGCCATCGCACCTTCCCAATTTTAGTGGAATTGTTGAATCTGACATTTACAACTCCTTGATAAACTTCATGTTTGCTTCCTTATATCAAATCATCTTTTTAAACACTGTGTACAACATATGATTTAAAAATAGACACCAGTACTTTGGAACAAAATCATAAATGACATTAACATTTTCTGGGTGTTTTCATTAACAATGAAATACAAAGTTTAAAAAAGAAAAGAAAAGGGTGAGAACACAACAAAGAAAGGAATTAATCACGAGAGAGAAAGAAGAGTAGATTGTGAACAGAGGGAGAAGGAAAGAGAGGGAGAGAAAGAGAAGGGAGGGAGAGAGAGAGAGAGAAGAGGAGGAGGGAGAGAGAGAGAGAAGAGGGGGCGGGGGATAGAGAAACTACATTATGCATGTGTCGTAAGTTTTGGCCTTTCCATTAATAAAATACAAATGAAGCTGGTGAAAACTAGAGTTAATATTCTGAAAACTTGCCTTTAAACTTGAGGTGTAATTTGTCATAGTCAATTAAATATCCTGGAATAAACACTTTGCAAAGGTGCGTGTGAGGATTCGTTATGGTAATTAACTTGTCTCTCAATGTATACGATGGCTTTAAAAGTTTAACGAAACAACCATTGTTATTCATCTATCATTTAAAAACAATTCAAAGTGACAACAGACAAAAAAAATTAATAACTTCTCTTCAGTATGTAAAAAAAGTTTGCAACAACTTCAAATGTAAAAATTGTGCAAATACACAAAGGCTATCCAACTGTAGTGAAAACATGGTTGCCGCACGCTTGAACGTACAGGTACACATCACAACTCGCCACAGTTTTACAAGCTACATGTAAATACCTATCACACATTAACTTGTTAGTGAGGTCGAGAGCTAAAATCACAAGACAGAATTGACAAATTGTATTTTGACTGCACTTAACCGACGACAGTGATTATGCGAAATTGCAATTGTGAAAGTGATACCGACATCCCATTTAAGGCTCGTTCACAAAATGTAGTAAACTGCAGCATCTTTTTCCCCCTTTCAGTAGGGGTAGTGATGGTGGCTACTGTATAGCGTTTCAATGATCGTTTCTCTACCTCGTAGCATACAGATAAAGAAGTATGCATAGGACCTTTGTTATTATTTTTTTGTGGTATCAACACTTACCATTCACAAACATTTAAACAAAAACAAAAACCTGCAAAGGTTTACTGCGACGTAGGAACAAGCGTTTAGTAGTGGTGAAAGTAAATAAACATTTGATCAGAAAACGTGTTCATGTACATGTTTACGATTGTCGATGGAACACCACTATTCCACTGTGATGCAATCAAATTAATGAGAAAAGGTTCAACAGAATCAATCTGATAGTTGTTAATTCTACTGTACAAGACAAAGGCTTTTCAAAAAAATGATATATATATACAACGGAGCAACATCCTTGTTTAACGAGGAAAGAATCAAAATTCAAAACCGACAAGGGAATATACTGGCAAAATTTTGTCATTAAATCTTTGAAGTCAATTATACATTTAAAATGTTCAAAGTTTGGAATTCACTATATTATATAACTTATAACATACACATTTAGGTTGAACAGTCAACACAGATCACAAATAGTTCAAAATAGAAGTAACAAAGTAATACTCAGTTCTGCAGATATACATGTCAGTGGAAAACACCAGAAAAAAAATACCCATTTGAGCATATTTCAAAAAGCTCATATAATCTTAATTAACAAGTTTGATAACATTTAAAATATGCACCTGGACAATACCAGTTCTGCCTCTCGATCAAACTATTTGCCTTTCATCTTGAAAGACCAATGTCGATTCTAAACTTCTTTTTGTCACTTGCCCAGCAAGCACCGGTCTCGCAGTTTCTCATCACAAAAGGATATGAAATATGTACAACAGTAAATGAGAGAAACTGGAACAAGAACCAGTCTTCTTTCAAAAATATTGACTTCAAGGCAGCCCAGTATATATCATGTACACAAAAACAAACAATTGATGTTTTTTGAAGAAAAAAAAAATGCTTATGTATTCCATCAAATTTGCGCAAAAGCCTGTACTAATACTAGGAGCTCTACCACAAAATCCCCTCTACATCCATCTCAGGAGCTGTAGGTAAATGCTCCCATAACTCGCCACTTCCCTAGCTGCGCTGTTGGCAAGTTGAACATAAGATGGCACTATGCAATAAACAGTATGCTAGGGCAGAACAATCATCAGCTCAGTCACGCTTTAAAGCCCCACTGTACTACTTTTAGCTACTTGCTCCCTCTATATAGAAACGATGCCTAATCGGTGACCATTGGTCCCCCATGATCCTCTTTTTCGTATGTTAATTGAGAGCTGAGTTGATGAGATAGCCACCGGTCAGTGACTTCTCTGAGTGGTCTAATCCCTCCTAGCCAAACTAGTACAGACGGCCTTTAAATTCTACTGTCATTGACAAATACCAGAGCCAAAATGCCATCATTCTATGCTCCAACCGATCTGATAGTCTTGCTCTATTAGAGAGCAAACTTCACAACTAAATCATCGGACAATAGTCTTAACTTGCGAGTTTGACAACAATTACAACTTTCAAAATTGAGTTCATACACGCATGTAGTCATTCGTTAAATAATTAATTTCTAACTGGCTTAACAGTCAATTTTTTACTTAACTGACTTTGTATTTGAATGGGTCTGCAATTAAAACCATTCTCTGTCAAGAAAAAGGTATAAATATATCAATTGTACAAATAAATTGTATCTGTATGCATATATTATCCATTCATCTTGAAATACAGTTCTCCAATATTACGCTTGCTGGTAAGATACAAATTTAGTATCAAAATTAATGTTACCCTGTTGCTTGGAGAAAAAGAACAGGGGGGGGGGGGGGCTGGGGACTAAAAAGCAGGATATCATGACCTTTCATATATGTACGGTACTGTAATGAATAAAAATTCCCCCCCAAAAAACAACTCATGACATGTATGTATCAAAAACTACTTCTTGTTTATCTCAACAAAAGATGTATAAACAAAACTTGGTTGCTACATGACTACTTCAAAGTTAATAAACACTAGATGTACACAGTGCTAAAAGAGCATAATATCCTTACATGTACGATTCTATTCAGTGTATTAAGCCTCTCTTTCCTTTTGAAATACAGGTTAATTCTTTGCTCAGAAAAGGCACAAATTTGCTTGAAAAGTAGTCAACATCAAGCCTCTTTTATAGTGCAATCAATATACAGATTCACTACACAGGCAAGGTCGACTTGTCAATGAAAAAGTTAATTTGTATTTGCTCATGCCAGTGAAATGTGCATGGATGATATGAATATTTAAGGTAGAAAAATGTGTCTAGTCGTATCATGGTCTCATTCAATAATGATGTTTATAAGTTTAATTTTTGGAAATGCTTGCTTCCTGTCTTTCTTGGGCATCTTGATGAAAACTGCCAAAGTATTATGGGGAAACTTTCATCTTCCAAATCAATACGCATGTATCACATAAAAAAAGAGAAGTTTCAGACTAGTTACAGACTGTAACAGTGATAAATAATATGCATGTGATGGCAAGAAAACAGTAAATGAATATCAATGTCTTTTAGCATTACCATTCAAAAAAATTGAGGGGCTTTCCCATTTGGACTATATCCACATACTGACATATACCTATTAGACATCACCCTTCTGTGGCTTCTCGAGAGAATTAGCTTCTAGATAGGTCCGTAGAAACCACACAGGCAGATCTATTTAGGTGTACCTGTAATACGTATAGAAGCCATTTAAAATCTACACATGTTCAAGTCCATATAACTTGGTACTTGGTGCAGCCTGGAGAAGAAGACACCATTGGAGATGATGGCTTTGCGTGTATAAAACGGTTGTTAATGTATGGTGAAAAAATACAATTATTGAAAGGAAATTTTTGGAGTGTATTTGACAACTTGGCGTCTTGACAGTTTAAATGATTTGATAGTTTGTAAGTAAGTAAGGACAAAAAAGAATAAGCATGTTTAGTCGAAGGACAGAAACCAACCATAGTTAATGTGATGCAAATTTGGGTCAAATTATCAAAAAAGTAAAGATAAAAAAGTGTGCTGTATGACAGCAAGTATGATTAATTTTATATTAAACACTATGCTATTATGTACACTATAGTTCAGTTGTTTCTTTTTTATTCATTTCATTTAAGGGGGGGGGGGGGGTGTTCACTTTTTTTTTTTACATTAACCCTGGTCCCAACCAAATCGGATAAGGATTTGGGTAAATGTAAGTCTTTCCTATAAAGTAAAGTGCAAAAAACACTTTTTTTTTTCTACCAAAGAACCAAACTATTAAATGCAATCATTACTGAGTTACCGGTAAGCAAACTCAATAAATATTACGCCATGTACTCCCATTGCTTCGAACTTAGCCTGCCTTTTCAGCAGTTTCAAATGAATTTGACTGAACTTTCAACTGGTTACGATGTTTAAAATTCAAATTTGAACAACAGCAACAATGGCCAAACTTTCAAAACACCATCTCTCATACAATTAATAAAATGGTGTACCTTTCTCCTTATTCATTTAATCAAGTATGAAAATATAGACACTCTGACAATATATACCAGATACACTTCTCAACAATAGTTTTAGACTTTTATAAAAAGTGCTCTTCCATCGAGGTGCATGAAAATGATCCATTGGACGTCCTTTTTTTCCTTTACAAGTAAAAAGAAAAAAAAATACATATATACAGTAAAATCAAATCTTTCGGCATTTCATTGATCATTTCACAAGTCTTTCTTCTTTTGCCTCCACCAAGACATCGCGGTGACACGGCTGTGCAATGAGCGAAGTGCAAATGAACGCATGAGGCAGGCAGCTGGGCATGAATGCTGTCAAGATGACGTGATTGTTTTTCCTCGTCGCGTGAAACATTGCCAGTGATTTTCCTTTCCAGTCAACAAAACTCTCCGCTATCTTGAATCTTCTCGAGTCAAGATGTAAGTGCACGTAGAGTACTCCGGAATCTTGCAGCTCCTTGTGGCACTTCGCATTCGTCAAAAATAACCCCCATCACGATGCATGGTGAACCTATTGGGAGATTAAAGAGGGAGGAATAGGGATATCATAAGCGTGTGGATACTGTACACAAACATTTGTTAAACAGTAAATCTTCAATATCTAAATATGCCCTTCTTATGTTATTCCACATCTCACATCTTTGAAAAAAGTTCCGCGGGGCCTGCATGTAACATGTAAGAGCGGTGATGATTCAGATTTTTATCTCCCCCCCCCCTAAAAAAAAAAAGTTTTTGCTCATTACGTCACTCCTCCCTCATTCCTCATGAAAAGAAATCACCGCCCCTGAACACAACACCCCATGCCCAGAACCTAGGTAAGAGTGCTTGCGCATCCTTTTCTATGTATTTCAATCAAGAATTATTATGACTTTGGATTACATACAATAAATATGCACTCTACGAGTTTGTTATGATGCATCTTGTGGGAAGACAAGTCAACACACTTCCGTGAAATTTGGTTTGTACATAAGTTACTAATGACCGGGTCTCTGCATGAACTACTTCTCCCCCTCTACATGTAGCTTTCTCACCATTACAGTTTTGATTCTTTCATACTGTTTTACAGGAAATTTAGTGTAATGTATATGGGGGGTGTTTCACAAAGACTAAGATCGACTTCAAGTTGGACTTAGCTATGACAGGCCATTCAGGCCATTAATTGCTCTAACCATTTTGATCTTTAGATGATATTTTTTCCTTTAATAATAAATTATCAAAAAATATGAAATCTGTATATTTGTGATCAGGATTTGTACGTCCCTTGAGAGGCCAATGCCAGTAAACGGTGAGAGCTAACAGTGGCATGAATGGCCTGCCATAGTTAAGTTCAACTTAAAGTCCATCTTAGTCTTTGTGAAACACTCCCCTAGTCTACATTAACATTTGTAGCGCAGTCCTCTCTCCCTTGCTTACCTTAATCAGATTTGTGACAGTATAACTCTTTGAGTGACTTGAGTTCCTCTATTAATGTCTTGTTCTGGTTCTCTAAGACTGCCACTCTGTTCTCAAGACACTTGATGTATTCCTTCTTCTTCCGCCGGCACTCTTTGGCTGCTTCCCTATGGTCACAAAACAAAAGAAAACAAGAGGTAAAAACATTTTGTGTTCATGGCTAAGTTTTGGAGGTACTGGGGTAAGTATGGTGCAGTCAAACCTGCTTTAGTGACCACCTGTCCACAAAGACCACTTTTTTGGTGTCCCTTGAAAATGGTTTCTATGTACTATAGGCACCTTTACATAAAGACCACCTGCCTATAAAGACCACTTTTCTTGTCTCCCCTGGGTGGTCTTTATAGACAGGTTTCACTGTATCAAGAGCAGTTCAGAGGTGGACTGGAGTAAACCCTCGTATCAATAAAACTTTGTGGTGCAGACAGATACACCATTTACATACTTGCCAACATTTGAAATTCAGAAAACGGAACGCACATCACAAATTATGTACCGTACGCTGCGACTGCACTGTGTACTGCACGGGAAATAAGTATCTCGCATATACGGCCGGAGTCATACGGTGATCATGAGCGATAGTGCTAGCGCGAGGCGTGCACTCTGTACGGTGCCTATGACTGAGGGATTGTGCATGGCACTCTATGGGCACTCCACGCACACGCGGGCTCATTATTACACGCAGCAAATAGAGATCAGCGTGGCACGCAACAAGCACGCATCTTGCGCAATACAATCCTTCCGGCACTCATCGTATCAAAACTATGGAAAGCCAACTGGTATTTATACTACATTGTATAATTCCCCACAAATCAGAAAGTTCATTTTTTCATGGCTCTAAAAACTTCAAAAACAAAACAGATCCGTTAGAAACAGAACGGTTGGCAAGTCTGCATTTACCAGTCTAAAGGCTAGTTCAGATATGATGCGGCAAAACCCCAGCATTTTTTTTTATAATGACAACGTAAAGTGTAATATGCTTCACATTTCTGTATCTTATAACACAGAGCTCAGTGAATACGTGCAATTACTTTGTAGGACGCAGTTGCAATTCATTTACACATAAAAAGCGGGTGTTTTCATTTTGCAGCGTTATACCACAACATATCTGAACAAGCCTTCAATGACACAAACAATGTCAACTCAGGAACAGATTGTGCAAGAAAATAGTTTGAGAAATTCATACTTTGTTTTTTTTATTACCCAGGAAGTGTACTTTTCAAAAATTATTTGAATGTCAACATGTTTCATTTCATAATGAGCTACATGTTTCCTTTTTGTAATGTCAAACTGAAACCCTCTAAGGAAACAGAACAGACAATTATGTCAGATGTCAGAACTATGTATTTAACTTAGTTCCTAACCCAGTATGTTTTCAAGAAGCTAGCCACCTAGAACATATCAGGACCTGGGGTTGCGAGCTACAGCATTACGTTTCAATGAACTGACCTGTTCTTCATTAGTCTGAGTTCCCGTTTCCTTCCGGCTTCTTCTACCATGACGTGCTGCTGTTGGAGGCCCGAGGGTGCCGCCATGACCACGCCCTGGGGTAACGATGTGGCCGGTCTGATCTGGTAGGCTTGTACCTCTCCAAGACGGGCGATGTTCACAGCTGAGAAAATACAGGTGAAACAATAATTGAAGGTGAAGCTCATGCCTAACATTCTATTTATCCTCATACACAACCATTGAAAGACCGTCAGCTCTACTGGGCCAGAAGGGATTAGACCACCCAGCCAGGTCACTGACAGGTTGGCTATCTCATTAACTCAGCTCTCAACTAACATCAGAAAAAGAGGATCATGGGGGACCAACAGGCACCGATTGAAGAAGTTTTCAATATAGAGGGAGCAAGTAGCTACAAGCAGGACAGTGGGGTTTTAAAAGGTTTTGCAATATTACCCATCTCTGGTCTTGATTAGTTTCATGACAACCCTTTTAATAATCTTGAGTATAGATTAATCTTGAATCAAAAAGAGTGATAAATCTTGAAGCCTTTGGTTATGTTTAGAAAACAAGTTGGCTCAGTCGGTAAACCGCCTGCCTGTCGAACCAAAGATCATGGGTTTGAATCAAACCTAAGTGGATGACTGAAGCCTGCGTTGTGTGTTAAACATGCCCCTCCCCCATTTAATAGAAGTAGACCATGTTAAGTGGAAAACACACTGTCCCTAGTATAGGATGTTAAATGGAAGCCCTGTGAACAGGAGATTCACCATTTTTGCTCATTAATTAAGAACCTACTGCAGTATCTGTATAAGAGTAGGGAGAATCCCCAGTGTAGTGGTCCATCTGCACACACCCCCCCCCCCCCCCAATCAGTTATACTGGGAGGAGAGATCCGATGGTTACAGCTAGTGATTCAGTTCGCTTTTCGCCTCATGCCAAATCCTTAAAGGGATACGGTATCTAGGGTATCTTTGTCTCAGATTCTTAACAAAATCATGGATTTTTCTCATGCTGCAATCATAATTAATAACCTTTAGGTCAGTCAGGGATCCCATTACGTGCTTAATAAAAGCTGATTGCCTGTCTGATTATCAAGATATTTATGATTGAAATTTAAAATTTCAAAACCATGCATCTCAGGTTTGTAAAACTGGAAACATTGTTAAACAATGCCTTTAATAATAATAATATATATCCAATGATAAATACAAAAATATGGCATATGAAGAAGTAAGATAAAGCTTGCTCTGTGTACTCACGGTACTCACCCGTTGAAGCTGGCACAAAGAACTGCTGACCGTCTTGGGTCTGGATGGACTGGACGATGCCTGACCCTCCAGCACTGGTCATGGTCAGCGTCTGAATGCCTTGGACACCATCTAGCCCAGGGTTGGCAATCTGGATGGTGGCTGCCCCTTGAAAATCACAGGAAAGAGGGAAGAAAATATTGAATTTGGACTACACATCTGGATACACCCTTTAAGGCCGCCATTTTAAATTACGAATAAACAACTTGTTTACTTGTTATTTAAAATGGCGCCCATGTCGGCGCATGCGCACTCTTGTAACCATGAAAGGGTGTATTTAACATAGTTTGAGGAACTTATAAATCTAGTGAGAAAACTATGATGTTTTTTGTTCAATGAGATGAAACACTATAAAAATCATATGTGGACAAATGGACAACATATGATTTAAAGTGCATCAATAATGGTAACAAGATAATTTCTGGGATATTTTTTAAAACACTTTAATGACTATGTGAATTTTTGACATCTTCTACCAAAAATCTGATTAGTTCATCCTTGCATACTCATACATACTTCAATTAAGTTTGGTTAAAATCTGTTCAATGATTTGCAAGTTGTCATGTTAACAAAAAGCAGGATAGACTGAGAACCATAAGACTTTTTTTTATTTTCTATGCCTCTGTGGTGGCATAGGCATAAAAATGAAGACAAAAAAAAAAAAAAAAAAAGAAAGAAAAGAAAAGAAGAAAAAAGAAAGAAAAGAAAAGAAAGATCTAAATTTATAAACACATTAAAAGTGATGTAGAGTTCAGATTCCAATTATCAGATCAACTTCAAATTTACATACCTTACGCACAACATTAACTTTAAATTAAAATTCTATATAGGAAATATTTTTTTAAAACCTAAAAGGAAATGACTTTACCACCCATTGCCTCAGGAGAAGTTCTAAAGAAGGACATTAAAAAGATCTACCTCAAGTAATCTTTCATGGAATATCTGCAATTTGCCCCTCAGTTTCCAAAAAAATCTTTCCAAGAAAATTAGACGAGGTACTCCTAACTTCATGAAAAAACAGGGTCTGTTTTTAACCAGACTGATGACAAAAGAAAGGATGAAGATGTAAAGGATATTGAGGAAAGATAAGGAAAACAACATGTAGGGGATATTGTTTCCTCCCCCCCCCCCTCATCTTGATTCCTTCTCCCATGTCATATTCATGGAACAGACTCTGCAATTTGCTATCAAGTTTTTAAGGATTTCAACCAAAACATTTAGATGAGGTATATACTTCTAAATTCATGAAAAAGCAGAGACTGTTTTTACCCAGACTGATGACGAAACAAACGATGAAGATGTAAAAAATATTGAGGAAGGATAAGGAAAAAAACAAAGGATATTGTTTCCTCTTTTTTATTTCTTGATTTCTTTTTCCATGTCATATTCATAGAATAGACTTTTGCCCCAAAATTGTCAAGAAATTCTTCCAAGAAAATAAGATGAGGTACTTCTAACTTCATCAAAACAAAGGGTCTGTTTTTAACCAGACTGATGACGAAACAAACGATGAACATGTAAAGAATATCGAGGAAGGATAAAGAAAACAATTAAAGGTACACATGAAGGGGATATATTGTTTCCTCTTCTTAATTCTTTCTCCCAAGTCATGCAGCAGACAAACGTGTACCACGGCCTGATTAAAGGACAGGGATTGAAAATAATACTCCAAGTGGAATCAACTCGGCATTAAAAGAAGCATGCCATCGAGCGTGGTCGTCAGGAGACCCACTCACGAACCAGTGGATAGCGTCTTAATACCACGTAGAAATGCAAATGTGCGGTGGGTGGATTAAGAGAGTGTATTTTTGTTGCATGAACGGCAGGGTGGTCTAACGATATTATCCCCTAGATTTAGGTTACAAACATCCCAGGAGATGAGCCATGGTCTAATCACGTGATCCCAGGCTGACGGCGCCGATGTCAAATTTTTCTCTGCTGCCAACGTGGGCTGGATTCTTTGCTCCCTCCCTTGCTAATTCTGACCAATTACTTGTTCCTAACACTCTTTATTTGACTCTCCTAATCCATTCCTCTTATAGGTTGTCAACCCAGTTGCCTAAAATTGTTTTCTCCAGAACTTGTCAAGTGTTGTATATGATCTGATTCTTTTTTCTGAATATCTAAAAGCTGTCATATTATGTACAAAACTGAGAACTCAATCTGAGAGGACCAATCCCTATTTTAGACACACCACAAACTCAGGATTTTTACCTCGTTATTACAAGCAAGTGTTAAAAGATAAAACAATGTGTTTTCATGAAATCCAAATCTTCTTTTATATCAAATAAATTCAAATTTATTTACATGTACAACTGTACAAAATAATGGTGTACTATTCCTCCTGAAATGAAATCCGCTCCAAACTTTTCTTTTCCATTCACGTTTCAGTCATTTGCTATAAAAACAAGTAGAGACTTTAACTTTCCTTTTACCAATTCAAAAAATTCATATATAAAGTCAGTGTACATTAGTTACGAAAACACAGATAAGAAAACAAATACGTCAAAATCTTTTTACATTAATCAATAGAAAAGAGGAAGATTAAGTCACGGTTGTGAGGGTTTTATCATTTTGTCACACCTTCTTTCTCTCCCCCTGTTCTCCCCCCCCCCCAACGCTAACAGGGTTGAATTGGCATGTGTGAGTTTGTAAAATGGCGCCTGGCCGGAATACTCCCATTGGAGCAGAGCGTATGCACTATCATGTGGGGATGAGCTAATGAATCCAATGACCGGGACAATTAATGATAATTATAATGTAAAAGCGCTATACAAATGTGACTATTATTATTAGCAATCGCTCCTGGGGAGTGTTTCAAAAAGACTAAGATCGACTTTAAGTTAGACTTTACTATGGCAGGCCATTCATGCCACTGGTTGCTCTCGCCATTGGTCTCTCCATTGTAATCTTCAGATATTTTTTCCTTCAATAATGAATTATCAAAAAATGTAAATTCTATAGATTTGTGACCATGGTTTGTACGTCCCTTGAGAAACAAATGCCAGTAAATGATGAGAGCAAACAGTGGCATGAACGGCCTGCCATAGTTAAGTCCAACTTAAGTCGATCTTAGTCTTTGTGAAACACCCCCTGGAGCGCGTGTTCTAGAACCACCATCTTACTTACCTGTTGGTAGATTTTGAATGGCTGTTCCTCCTGAAACGATGATACTCTGAGTGCCTTCCGACTCATCACTTCCTGGTGGCTCTTCCTCTATCTTGGGCACACCTGGTACGTCTGACGACAGGTCATTCAAGATTCTCCTACAAAACCACCAGGAAAACAAGTTCAAATTTGATAATTGTCTAATCAGTTTCAAACTCTATTGTTGTTTTTTTCTTTTGCAGGATGTTTTCCCAAAGAATAATTTTTAATTAGTTTCAGACCGTTTTGTTTTCTTTCTTTTGCAGGACGTCTTTCCGAGTAATTATTTTTTAATCAATTTCTGAGAATATTGTATGTATTCTTTTACAGTCTGTGCCAGCTAGCAAGCAATGATTAACTGCAATTTAGCTTACTTATTATCAAAAATTACATTGATATCTTTTCTTTCAAGACGAGTTATCATTGGTCCTATTATTTCTGACCACATTGTGTGTGTTTTACCTACCGGTAGTCTGTGTCAGGTCACAATTAACTACAGCTCATCACACTTCTTTTAGAAATCAAATTTTCAATTTTAACTTTCTAACCATAGATTTTAAGATTTTAGGGTCGTTTGCAAAGGGCAATACAACATCTTTTTTTAATGCTTCATGCATTGTTTTTATGTTTTCAATAACCTTAGTGATTCCAAGTAATTGTTCTACTGTACATGTAGCTATTTTAGGCGCTTCAAAGATGCACAGTGCAAAGATACTCTTGTTCACAAGAGCACTTTGGGATCTGTTAATAGTGTAAAAGTGAATTTTGCTTGCCACTGTTTTGCAATTTTCTAGAATCTCTTGGAACTTGGTCAATCAAGGATTCACGGTGAGGAAGGGGGGGGGGGGGGGAGGCAGAAGTTGATAAAACTTCTGACAAGTGAGCAAGAAAAAAGAAAATGGGTGAAGGGGCAAAGGCATGTTCCCTTTTTGTTTGTCCTTGGTGTGTACATGTACCCCCCCCCCCCCCCTCTGGAACATAGGTGGGGGTGAGGGGGCTATTTCCTTGTTATGATTATACGTACCTGTAGGAAGGTCTTCGTGACAGGATCTCTTGTCTTTTCTTTCTCTCAACCTCACCATCCACAGTCAGACTGTCTTCATCCAACTACAGTATAGGAGCAAGAAGACAACAACATTTTTTACTAACATAATATTTTGTTAACTCTCACATCAATATCAGAACCAAGTGCACCTTGAATTACCCGTCATTTTTGTTGTTGCTCTATACAGTACAAGTACTTTATAAGGCCGTTGCAGGTTTGATATTGTGATATAGATATCTTCCACTTGTTGCACTGACAATATACATTTACGTGTAAACAACTTTATTCCTCTGATTCCAACAAACAAAGAAAACATTTCCCCAAACCCAAAGTTATATGCTTTACACTTTAACTTTGCCTATGTTTTAAACTCATATCCATGATACACCAGGGGTGATAGTGAGCACTAAAAAAAAAATAGGTTTTTTGTTTTCCCCTCAACCACGCCCCCCTTGAGTAAAAAAAAAAAAAGGCGATTCGCGGGGAAAAAACGGCATCTAACAACATTCCCCCCTTTCGAGGAAGAAAATTGGGAGAAAAAAATAGGGCAAAATAGGGAAGAATAGAGAAAATAAGGGGGGAATCAGGAAAATCAGGATAAAAAAGGGAAGAAAAAAAAAATCTGGTAAAAAAAAAAAAAAAAAAAAAAAATCTTTTTTTTTTTTTTTTTTTTTTTAAATCGGGAAGAAAAAAAAAATCGGGAAAAAATCGGGAAAAATAAAAAAAATCGGGAAACCGATTTAAATCGGGTTTTTATCAGGCCTGATACACGTACATGTATGTCTTCGTTTCAATAGGAGAAAGAAGTATGGAGAGTACTTTGTGTGCATTACATGCATTTAAGTGTGCATATGCCTATTGCATATGTACATGTATATTGTATGTAAACAAAATGAGCGACCTGCAAGGAACTGGATCATACATGCTCCCTCAATATATATCTGTTTAAAAAACTCTTTCTTTCTTTGAGCCACGCATTCAGACTTGTCCCACTTGCGGTCAAAATCTTTGATTTCAGGACCCTATGAAATGTATGATGCATACAAGCAGAAAGAGTAACCATTCCAGTCAATATTATCCAGTTTTGTTGCTAGGAATTGTGAAAAGGAAAATACACATTAACATCTTGAAGTTGGCAACAATCTAAAAATTAAAAACCGATGGAAATTTTGTATTACATTTTTCCAGTTAGCAATCAAAGGATACATTGGATTTATCAATTATATTATAATCTCTTCTTCTATCGCTCAAACAAACAACATCAAAACGCTTCAAAGATCAAACAACAACCAAAAAGCTACGCTGATTCTCATTTAGAAAAGCTTGAGCAATAACAACAAAACATCATCAACAGCAGCAAAGCAAAAAAATCTGCATGCACTTCCACATCTACTTTAGATTCAAGAACTTCCAAGGACACTTTTGACATTGTAGTTCATTCAATACCACATTTCTCGTTACTTACGTTTCAAATTGATTGTTTTTGTGTTTTCCTCTAATATCAGTTCTATATCGCAAAATTTCAAATTGACGCTTCTCCTTGTCGATGCCCAAGGGTATGATGTTTTTCGGCAAGTTTTTTGCATCTGATGCACTAGATGCATTCATGAAATACAGTCAAACCTGCTATAGTGACCACCTGTCTACAAAGGCCACATTTGTAGTTTCCCTTGAAAATAGTTTCTCATTGAATCATGTACTAAAGGAACCTGTCTACAAAGTCAACCTGTCTACAAAGGCCACTTTTTGTGTTTCCCTTGGGCGGTCGCTATAGACAGGTTTGACTGTACATCCTGCAAAATGTGAACCAGTGACACAAAACCACCAAAAAGTCACTAGAATTTAAAAAAAAAAGTTTTACTTGTAGATCTCATTCTAAAACAGGAGATTTTCAGCTTTGCAATGAGGTATAACTCCTCACTTTTTGAAATTCCTAACTTGATGAAAAAAGGGGGGATGAATGTCAAGTCCAAAAGGTTGACAATTCAGAGAAAAGTACTGTAGCCTGTAGTCTCTTTTTAAAGGGATCCGGTAACTTTGTACCAGATTCTGAAACAAAATCCTGGATTTAGCTCATGCTGCAATGATAATTATAAACCTTTAGGTCAGTCAGGAATTCCATGACTTTTACAAGCCGATCGCCTGTTTGATTACGGTATCAAGATATTTATGATTGAAATATCAAATTTTGAAAACCGTTTGGCAAACGGTTTTCATAACACTACAGTCTATTGGGGAAAACGAGTATGGTAAAACCAGTCACTCAAAGATTTTTACTTTTTTGAGGCACTTATTGATCATTTTGAAGCACAATTTTTTTGAGGGCTTCAATATTACACCATATTACAGACACTGATAACACGTACTGTAGGGCCGTGTATCTCAGATTTAACATTGTTAAACGATCCCTTAAGCACTCTAGGCCTGTCCTCATCAGCTCGAGTTTGCCAAATAACCTGCTATTTAAACTAGCTAATTGCAAATTAGCCAATTAATTTGTGTCTTAATCAGCCCGCTGTCGGAATTGGCATGATATTTGGTCGAGAAAAGACCCAAGAAATCCTGGTCTTATTTCCAAAATATCCCGCTATTTGGGAAATAGCAGGCTGATTTATGCCCGAGCGTATTGGTCTGGTGAAGACGCGATTTCGAGCTTCGGGGTATAGTCTGAAAATAGCTGTTTATTTGGCAAACTCGAGCTGATGAAGACAGGCCTTCTGTTTCCCAAGGTATTGTCCATGGTGACAAAAGGATCACAACTCTGTAGGATATTTCTGTCAAGTGATATCTAACTGTCCGAAAATTTGAGACACCAATTAATAGCACATCCTGTTCTTTCTTTTGTATACATGTAGGTATCAATACAACAGCTATAAACACCATGAAAAGTGATGGACAAAGAAAGAGGACAAAATATACAGTTCCTCAATCTACCTTGAACAATTGCTGTGGTAGACAAAGGAACATCCCTTCACTGCTATTATGTAAAAATGTGTAGAACAGGTGTCACATGCATATTAACTGTTCTACACATTTTTACATAATAGCAGTGAAGGGATGTTCCTTTGTCTACCACAGCAATTGTTCAGGGTAGAATGAGGAACTGTATATTTTGTCCTCTTTCTTTGTCCGTCAGTCATGTTCATAGTGACAACAGCTAACCACCTTTTAAAGTTAATATAGAAGATCAAAATGAGACCCACTACCCATCAGGGCCATAAAGAAATTTTAACCATTGTACCAAACTCATGATCAGACAAACATCCATAACGCACTGTCGAACAAAAAAGATTGTATGATTATGGCTACAATAAGCAGACAAGGACCTACTGTATGTACATGTATATCAAACATCTAAACTAGGGAGCAAGATGTCTTTTTAGGCCCAGTCATGCTTACAGACCATGTGTCACATGTTATAGCAAATTGTACAGGAAAAGTTATGTCACTATTAAAGATACCATCTTTTATAGGCAATGTTATGCTAGAACAATTCACAAAATTTCATTTATTTATTCTTTGACCTACACAATCACAGGATCACAATCTATCAAAAACTTTTACTATAAAAAAGCCATTTGGTTAATACATTTTTAATAAAATTATCTTTGATGCCCTACATGTACATTGAAACCTTTCTTCCCATTTGGGGCTATAGCTAAACATTCTATTCTCATGAAGATGATGTTAATTAATTAGAGAGAGAGAAAGGGTTCCCCTTTTCCTATGTAGTTTAGTACTTCTATGGATGTACTGTATTGGAGCCTATACTCATCTGCATTGTATATTTGAAAGCAATCACGGAAAGTGAAGACGAGATGACGATAACACCAGTTAACTAAGAGTACATGTAGATTGAGGTGAATTTATGATGGGGATTTCCCAAAACAATACATGTAAACAACAATAACATAATTCTGACAAAGACGCAGTCACTACATACATGTAACAGTATTAGGAACAGGAGAATAAGAATCATGATGCTATTTAACTACCCGAGACTATGGTCCAGATATTCCCCCCTTTTTTTTCTTATTTCAATTAATTAAACTATTTATTTACCTACATGTAGAAATCTATCTATTTATTCATTTTTGTGGGGGGGGGGGGGGGAGATACGAATTAACTATAAAGTGGGGCAGCCAACCTGCTGAACTTGAACTACAGGAGTAGCCTGAATGACGGAGTGCTGGTTGTTAGTTTGAATGACAGACTGGACGTGAACCACTTGATTGAGGGGCGTGGTGTTGTTGGGCGGAGTCATCAACAAGGAAACCGGCATAGGTGAGATGTTGTTCACCTGTAATTTGGCAAGGGGGAACAAAGAGTGAAACCAATCAGACCTTTCTGTGGATTGATCACCCAAATTTAGTGTTCATTTTAGCAAATGGGGGCTCTGGGCCATATTGCCCGATTTAGGGGTGATGTTGTGCAATAGTGCAAATACTCCCCCCCCCCCCCCTTTGGGCTCTACATGGCCTCAATTTTCTTTCAAGTTTCTTCTTTCTTTTTTTTGGGGGTAGGGGTTGGGTTCTTACCCTTATTTTTTTCTCCTTTTTAATACCCCTAACAATTAATTTGAGGGAACCTTAAATTGGCAAGGATTTTCCAAAAGGGGGCATCTAATACAGAAGTTTATAGAACAGGATGACTCTGCGGGGAATCAGAATGGCTTATCAGGGGGAAGGGAGGGGATTGTCCATTGTTGAAACTGCATTTCAAAGATCTACATGTATTATTTTAATCTCTAGTCAATTACAAGGACATATTTCAGAGCCTTAATTTCAGTGACAATTGTTTGTTCAGAATTTGACAAGGCTGTTCTTGGTGCAGATCAACACAAATTTATGACTTAGAATCATAATGTAAAGAATAAAAATCAAACATCTTAGGGTTGGATACTATCAGAATATGTAGGTAAATATTTAGTTAATTAATTACAAGGAAATATGTTAACAGAATTGAATTTTTCTTTGTCAACAAAACCATTTTGAAGAGGCTTTTGCATGTTTCACAGGGGGAAGTGAAGAAAAGGCAAATCTGGATCCATGTTCAAAACAGAGTAAACTTTTTTTTTTTGGTTAAAAAATATCCTTTCCTATTCCCTAGATAGTACATGTATTTATAGTACAATGTCTACATTTATTCTCTTAATCTCGGCATCTACATGAGTATTGTCATTTGAGTTGATTACGATCACTTCTGGTTGGATAGGTAGAAAATATATGCAGATAACAATAATTGTTCGAGATTTGAAAGATGAGAAGAATAGCATGGGCTACCTAGAATAAATTAGAAATATGAAAAAATAAATTGTCAACATTGTTAAAAAGCTGTGCAATTCCTCACTTCTGATAACCATCTTTCATAATATGTGTTTATTAATATGAATCTGAGGCACAGTACAATATCAAAGAAAAATATGTGCTGCTTAACAATGTGGAAGTAGGTTGAAACAGATTGGCAACAGTAATATTGTTTGTTTTAAGTGTACCTAGAGAGGGCTTTTCATGTACCGGGTACAACTGTATTATAGTAGTCTCTTTTCACACTGAGTTTTATTAGCAAATGGTAATCTGAAGATTTTCTGTGAGTGGGCAATATGGCTCTTCTTTAGCCAAAAGATATGGTAATAATATTTTTGAAGTACTTACATGTACATTATAAATGTAGGGGGTGTATGGGAATGTTACTAATTTGAATTTGAACTGAATATTATTATCATTATTGATGCATAATTTAGCTTGATAATCTTAATGTACTGCATAGAATTGTCATAGGGTCGCGTTTTCTAAAACTAAATTTCATACACACAAACTCTAATAGATGATAGCTTTTCATACATTTGTGACATCCGGGTACATGCAAGAGTTACATGTAGGTTTAATAGGATATTTCAGTACAGACATCAATCTTGGGCAGAGAGCCCTCTATTGCACTAAGACAGTAAAAGGCTGGTGAAGATCTCACTGAGGTCCACCAGAGAGCCATTCCATAAGATTCTAGAGTACAAAAGGTGATCATCCCTGAAAACATAGGACCAGCAGTAGAGCAGTTAACCAGTACATGAACATGTACATATATACTTTAGCCATAAAAACCAAGGAAAATCCAGGAGACCCAGATGTCCTGCACCAGGATTGTGCTATGTGAATACAAATACATATTTTTTGTTGTTTTTCAAAAAGATATTCCTCATGCAGTATTAAAACTCCTACATCTTTCATAGTTATTCTTTCACATGCATTTATTTTCTGCATAAAATGGCTGGGGTCAGGAAAACAGAAAAAGATAAATAAATGAAAGGACTTCGACACAGCACAGACTAGAATCTCCTTCAAAAGGATAAATTTAAAACTTCTTGCAAAAGCTTCCTCCTAAAGGACTATAATGGGGAGTCTTCCTCCTTTTGTACATTAATATGTTCTACGGTAGAGATACAGGTCTATCAAGTTAAATTTAGCATTTCCAAAACATCCCCTTTCCTGCTCTTTTGTCTTAATCAAGCAGTCTGCCCGGGCGTCTGTGCATTCCGATTCGGTATTTCCCTAGAAACATCAGTCATGTTGCCGTTTCCTGGGGAGCCCAGATTAGAATGAAATGTCCACCTGACTTCTCCCCCCTATTTCCTGCCCTAGCCCTCACCTGAGAGTTTCAATTCACCCCTCTGCCAGACGAAAAGCATGTGAGATATCAAACAATTCTCAATTTATAGACCAAGTGTACATGTACACCTACATGTATAGGATTGAGAAATACAGTTATTTGCTACCAAGACACTTGATTTTAAAGCCCACTGCACTACTTGCTCCCTGACCCTCTATATAGAAAACAATACCTTAGCGGTACCTGTTGGTCCCCCATGATCTCCTTTTTCTTATGTTAATTGAGAGCTGATTTGATGAGATAACCACATGTCAGTGACCCCGCAGGGAGGTCTAATCCCTCCTGGCCAAACTAGTGCAGACAGGCTTTAAGAGCTTATTTGATTTCTAAATTAGAAACTCTTGATACTAGTCATGTTTGATACTTTTTAATTTCTTAGTTCATGTTCTTAATAAAATAGACATGCATACATGTAGTTTGTAAAAGAATATCAACATGATATCACAGAGTTAGAAAAAAGAAAACAGTGATTGTCTTCTTTTTACCAACATATTGCCAACTGAGAAGTTTGACCGAATGACTAATATTCTCTATTCTCTAATTATATGCTTTAACAAAGGAGCCTTGTAATTCCAGTAGGCATGGTTTAAATGCCCATTTTCCTTTTGTCGAAAAAAACGGATCTTAATTGGTCAGATTTTCTTCTTCAAAGGGTCAACCTTTCAAGTCATGCTACATGTACATGTAACTTTATACAAATCAAATAAAATTCATGTTCTTTAAATGTACATGTTTATCTAAGATAGAGATTGGGAAAAAACATTTGTAAAGAAAGCAGCAATTGTCACTTTTTATTGTCCACTTGTTGCCAATATTGAAAATGTTCAAGTCCTATTTTCCATTTTTGTTATATAATTTCTCTCTGTCTAATTTTTGTAAACAATTAGGGCAGTAATTTCTTATTTGTGGCTTCATTGACCTAGTTTTTTCCTTTTATTTGGGAACACTTCATACTTCTCATTTCATGCTACTTGTTTTTAATTGAATCCATGTTTTTGAAAAGTGAGTTCTTTGATAGAATATCATAGAGTTCCAAATCCTATTTCAAATTGAAAGAAACTTTCATGATGTACAGAAACGACAAAGGTGAGCGTGCATACATCGAAGACTCAAGATCCAGACTGCTCTTAGAAGAGTGTACAGTGTAGTCTTGTGTAGATACCTTTGAGCAGTGCTCCTGATTTAAAAGAAATTGCCTGAAACTTACATGAAGTAAGTCACTATGAATTGCTTAAACACTTGATCTAAATTTCTCTTTCTCTTTAAATAATGAAAGTTCAATCAACATAAATTGAAAAAATAATGATTTCAATATAGATCTGTCTTTGAAAAGCCAAAGAAAGAACAGACAAAACTGGGAAAGAAAGAGAGAAAAAAAGGAACACATAAATAAGAAAAAACAAAACACAAAGAAAAATCAACAACAACAAAAAAAAAAAAAGGAAAAGGGAGTATGGTATGCAGTTCAAGAAACAGATGTTTTTAAATACTTGCAGAAACTTCATTTTTATGATAAATTCAGGTACACTGATACGTTAATGAGATTAAAATCAAAGGCTATCGAAATTCAACCAAGACTAACAATTTGATAATTCAACAATATGATATATTTTGTAGTTCTATTAACATTTTCTCCCATTGTATTCAAAATTAGTAGATGCATGCAGTTTGGATATCAAAGATAAAGGTGAGTTCTGGTAATGCAATTGCATTGTGAAAGAAAAGGTGTGGAATGGATCAAAAAAAAGTTAACCATGTAGCATTGTAAGTACTGGTGTACACTGCAAGGGTCTAGAGGCATCAAAATCATAATAAATTTGGCCCAGTCTTGGTAAAATAACAAGCACTGTACACAGAAAGATGTATATGGGACTACACAAATAGTGTCGGGGCTATAGTACTAACTGATTTTCCTATCTTTCTATGCTCATTACTCAGCCAGTATACATTTTCTTCCAAAATTGTTTGGCACATGACATTTATTTGTAATCTTGAACATTCAGTGTAAGTTTTGTGTGATTCTGTGAGAATTCATTTTTTTTTTTTTTTACCAGAACTCAAGTTTATCTTTAAGCATATCCGGGGTCTGGTCTTTTGGACACTACTTTGCATTTTGGGTGAAAAATAAAAAATGGCTTTCATGAATTCTGAACTTCATGCATTTACAATGTATCATGCAGTAAACCAGTGGATATGACTGGTCAGTGAAGAAAATAGCCACCAGAAAAATATGAATAATAGCCTGGTGAAATGAAATTTCTATTCAATAAGTATGGTTACCAATAGTTTTTTTGTTTTCTCCCCCCCCCCCAACTTCCACATAAGATGTTTTTAGAACTATAATGACAATTTTAACAAGGGAAGCCCATTTAACCAACAAATCTGAGTCCAAATAAGAAAGTGCTTAAGTAACCATACACCTGCACCTATGACTTTCCCCCTAAAAAACATTTTAGGGTGCAGCATTTTCCTGCTGAGAGTTCTTTTTGATTGGCCAACAAACTTGAAATTGTGGTGCTGCCTTTTTTATGTAATTCTTTGTTGTATTATTTTAGCTCTGACACCATTTTTTCAGTTGTCAAGAGCTCTTTTAAAGCTACTTGTATCTAGAGCTGAATCTTTCACAAGTGAAGTGCTTTCTCTAGTAAAGTGAAATATAAACCTGTGTCCAATTTTGTTTCCATCAATAAAGGACATTCTTCAAAAGAATTGCATTATGCACCCCAGGGAGTGGAGAATGTGGGTATATTGTGTGCCAGTAAGCCTTAATCCGATGATTGGGGTAATAATATATCTGTAAAGCGCTTAGAGACATCATCGATGTATTAAGCATTATATAAAAGCAGAATATTATTATTATCATTATGCAGAAATGCTTTGTAAAAAACTAATCTTGTACCCATTATCTGGGAAATGTACAAAATGACTTTATCGTTTCAACTCCTACACAGCTTTTAAGCAGCAAGGAATTCCTAGCAAATGGCCGAGACAATGCACTGCAACCAACAAAAGCTACTCTACCTGTCCGCCGTTCTCCTCTTGTGCTTTGCCGTCCTCCCCGACATCCATTTTACCAGACTCTCGTCGCAAGTCAGTAGGATTTACCTGAAAATACAGACCACATGAGAAAGATAGTAATTATTGTTTGCAAATAAAATAATTACTAACAAAGTGATCCATGAGCATATTTTTTTATACTTAAATAAATATGGCTGATGTTTTGAGAAAAAATCTGTACCTGACTAAATTGTATAGTGAGCATCACCACAAAGTTGTAAACAAAACAAAACTAACATACACTGCGCTGGGAACTCAATATTTTCTTTTTTCATTTCTTTCTTTTATTCTTTCTCTCCCTTTCTCTAAAGCCTCTATCTCATTATTTCTTTGTCTTTCTCTCTCTCTCTCTTCTCCCCCATATTTGTGTAAAAGCATAAAGCTGGCTGAAATTTGAAAAATGATACAAAAAAGAAAAGAACTGTAATTTATTCATATTTTGGTAATGCTAAGTTTTGGGAAATTTGGGAAATTTGGAAAATTGGGTGGATAGTGAAATTGGATGCTGTAGGCACTAGAAAATTTAGCCCCTGAAACACTTCTGCTTTTGAGAAAAATTGAATATCAAAATTTCCTGGTGCTCTCGGTAAATTTTGATAAATTTCATATAGCGCCCACGGCCGTACAATGGTACATGTAGCTGCAACCATGAAAATCTCAGAATATAGTTGTTACATACAATTTCAAAACGGGAATAGCTAATCAGTCAATTTTAGTCAAGAAACAATGTTTTATACTTTAACTAATAGCTTGACCTTGAGAGGGAGCTACAAAACATTGAGAATTTATTATTTACAATTTCATAACTTAAGACTCGATTCGACCGCGACAACGATCTCTGAATATTGTAGAATCGCATACATGTATGCTTCCAATATGTTCATTTGAACCAAATCCATGACCGACTACCAAAACTTTGTACCGTATTACCGTTACCTGTAAAGTACAAATCACAATTTTGCTCTAGATGGCAATCATAAGGTACTAGTAGTATTTATTAGAGAATCATAAGCCAATAGTTGATTAGAGAGATTAATCATTTACACTGTATGGGGAAAATGATTGGAAATTGATCTACATGTATATTCTTTCCAGCTATAATAATAATAATAAGAATAACAATAATTAGTATAAATAATACTTATCATAAAAGTAATAATAATAATAATAGTTATTATTATTTCTATAATTCAAAAAAAAAATGTGAACAAGAACTTTGAAACTGTTCCTTTCTGGTAAACCATGACCAGTATTAACCACAAAACAAGTTTCAATTATTTAAACATATTTGTGGCTTACACCCAGTAAATAAGATTGATTGATTGATCTGAAGTTGAAAGACAAGTCAGAAAAAATCTTGGAACCAGCAGAACTTAACCTGCATCTACTGCTTACCGGGCAGCGACTCTACCACCAAGCCATCATTGGTCCATTGCACAGTCACAATGAACTAGAAACAAATACAGTACCCAAGCTCTCCTTATTCAATCTGACTTATTAATATTCATTAGTCTGCCATAGGACAATAACTTTTATAAATGTTTTTCAATACAGATCGATCAATCGATCTTATTTACTGGGTGTAAGCCACAAATATGTTTAAATAATTTAATTGAAGTTTCTCCCAGGAAGCATTACATTAAAAAAAATTAAATAAGAAAACACTTTAAAATTTGTTTTGTAACTACACCGAGTGGGTGGCTGGAAAATTTCAAAATGGAGCTCCTTTTCTATTGTGGAATCACCTTCTCATCTTTGCAAAAACGATGTCAATGGTAGACCGAAATACATGTTCACACCCTTCATCTAATCCATACACCTCTTTCTCTTCTCTCTCTCGTTAATACTTGATCTCTTTAAGCCCCCTCCATGTCTCTTCTACTGAAGCACAAATTGAATGAACTTGGTCATTTATTGTCATATATTCTAATATTGTTGAAAATAATACCCCAACATCCAAACAGTAAGATCATATTTCACACAATTTTGACCACTTCAATTTACGCTTGAATAAAGGTAATGAGTAAAATTCCAAAGAGGGAAAGTAACCATAATGTATAATTTATATATCGTGTTCCACTGGTACATTTATATTCTTTTCAATAATGAATAAATGAGTGACCAGTAAATCCAACAGGGCTTAAATTAATCCAAGGCCATGGCCGTGGATGCCCTGTTGATTGGCCTCAATGCCCCTCTCAATTGGCCTTGGAGATTTGTTGTGCCCTTTCCAATTCTTCCTGTTTGTGCTGTAATATAGGAATTTGCCCTACAGAAAAGTGGCCTTGCCCTAAAAATATTGAAATTTAAGGCCCGATACAATAATTGTTAACATAATATGTAATTCTCAAATTCATAAAACAAAGCAAACAATTATTGGGTTTTGTTCTACTCCCGTACTTTGGAGGTGAACACTATCAAATCAACAAAACAAATCAACAAAAACCCTCAGACATGTGCCCGAGGCAAATAATGTTCTCATTCCAATGAACCCTTTGGTATCAAGATTTGTGAGAAAGAGTTTTCCTTGGGGGTCACCTTTTTCTGATTACATGCATTTCTTCTATTGCTTCAGTTTCAATTCAAGTTTTCCTCAGGTAATTCCAAAGCAACAGTAAAAAAGAATGTCAACTATCCATCACCAAAAAAAAGAGAAGAATATCCACACAGAAGTACATATACCTCGCAATTTATAATTTCAAATAAAAATATAATTTGTTAATTACTTGTGGTATAAGTCACTTCCCATTTTTTCTTTGAATAAATCCAACTAGTTTTTACTTTACCAGTAAAGACTTAAATCAATTTTAAACATCACTTGCATGCATAACGGAATTAAAGATTTTAGTCACAAATTTCATTGTGCATTTGAATACATGTGCAATCAAACACTTGTACAAAGTTTTGTCCAATAAGCAAAATGTAAACTTTGAAAAAAAAATTGTATTGAAGAGGGCACTCTTTTGGAGCAAAGCACAAAAAACAATAGTGAAACATAATCCTACATTGTACTGGTCAACTACCACTGAGCATTCTAACTTAACCAAATTAAGCATACAAATAGAAAATTAACGAAACTGCCCAGTGGCTATAGTGGCCAGAAGTTATGACCGAATAAGACCCCTGTCAACGCCAGTGGGCCCTAGGCAACGGCACACAGAAAAGCCACAATCAGCAGTTGCAATCGCAATACACAAGCATGCCTACCTCATTTGCCGCTGACGTGCTGAAATATAATCTTGAGCAGCGCCGTGTCATCGCCAGCATCTCACTTGTGTACTAATTCCAAAGAAATGATGTCAATATGACAGCGGCGGGGAAAGGATTGACGGTGTACAAGAGAGAGAGATTGAGCGCCGGCCGGCAGCAGAGCAGAGAAAAAGAGACAAGAGTGATCACGGAGGCGGGGGAGGCAAGTGCCACGCAGTTGGCGAACCACGTGCCTTTTCATTGTGATACTACTTCAAAACAGAGAGTCGTCTTGCACTCATGGCAATCCACGTGCGGTGGCACACCACTTTTGTGAGTTCAGAGGGTTCTTGGGTTTTGAGTACGCAATCCAAGTGACGTGATACGCTAAATATGCCTCCTTTTTGTGATTATTTTGCAGGTTCCTTCAAAAGGCAGATGGTCAAAAGCCGACAAAGTTCTAGGGCATTTCCATTTGAAGGAGAACAAAAATATAAGGACTTTCTCCTTTCACTTTACATTTGTTGACATTTAAAATTGTGGAAATATTATTTCTATTTTCTCAATTTTTTAAGTTTCCCTAATCTTACATACCCACAAAGCCAAATCCAGCGCAATATCAAGGCTGCCCTCCTTTTTTGACATCATAAAAATCTCTTACCTAAAAACTTTCAACATAGAAAAAGAGGCACACAATGTTAGTTCAATCAATTGGATGATGTCCTAAATTTTATGACACTGAGTTTAAAGTATGAGTGAAAATACAGGTTCACACATGCATGCCCCCCCCCCCCCCCCCCGGGAGAAAAATACATTGAAAATTTCCTCCAACTCAGACTAAAGAGTCATTTCCATTTAAAGTTTAATCCCCAACAATCCAAAGTGGTATAATGTTGTATATCTTGCGCCCCCTCCCCCCCCCCCCCCCCCCCCGAGTTTGCTGCCCCAAGATTTATTTAATATGAAATCCGACCCTTATGGCACGTTGCTCTAGAACAAAGCAGAAAAATTAGAGAAGCATTCGACTGGTGAGTTTGAATGAAATAGGACCAAAAAAAGAGAGTAATGCATTTTCAAAAGTTGCAATCACTAAACGTACTGCCACTTCAAATTAGCTGAATCGGTAATGTCACTATGAGAGACAACTTTCCCATTTGTTCCAACGCACAAAAATGACTAAAATGTCAATTTGTCAAAACCTGAGACGAGGGAGAGTCTATTCTCTTTAGAGGACCTACCATAATATGCTATCCATAATGAGTAGTGCCCCAAGGGAGGAGGCACTCAAGAGAAAAAACAGAAATAGATAGAAAACACAGAAAAACACACTGTACAGTATGACAACAAAGAAGAAAACACAATGAAAATACATTATACCAACAAAGAAAGGACTTGAACAAAACACAGTGAACATATACATGGACCATCAATGTTTTAAAAAAATGTGAAGATCCAGCAAACACAGTATATTAAAGCAAGAAAAAAAAAATACAATGAACTTTTAAAATGAGGGCAGACAAGTTGGAGGGAAAGTAGAGATTTAAACACTGGACTTGCTGACATTCAAATAACGCTCAGTTGACGTCAAAGGACACAAAGGTCACTGGCTTCTAAAGATGCGATCCTTGCTCTCGGTCATAGAAAGCATCTCTCAATTCACCTACAGTGTAGATAGATTAACCTCCTTCATAGTGCTTAGCTTTAGCTGTGTAATATTTACAGGTATATGTACATGAAGCTTTAGTGTTTCATACATGAACTTGATCTGTTTTATAATTAGAGGTGTAGGATCAATTTAAGAGGAGCACATTAGCAGAAAATAAAAGTATAACCATTTAAGGTTCCTTTCATAACATTCC